AGATGATATTTGTAACTCATGAGTCCTTTGTCAGTATGAGGGTAGTGGGAGGGGAAAAAATTATATGTATGTATGTATAGATAGTTAGATAGAGGGCACAGGGTGAGTTGAAGATGAAGGAATGATATCTGGAAAATAAAATTAAGGGGAGAGAGAGGATTATACTGGGAGAAGGAGAAAGGGAGAAGTAGAATGAGGTAAAATATCTCACATGAAACAGACAAGAAAAGGCTTTTACAGTGGAGGGGAAATGGGGGAAGGTAAGAGGGAATGAGTGAATCTCATTCTCAAAGGATTTGGCTTAAGGAGGGAATAACATACACAGTGGGGCATGGAAATCTACCTTACCCTACAGGAAAATAAGCGGGGAAGGGGACAAGAGAGCAGGGGGTTGATAGCGGGGAGGGCAGATTGGGGGAGGGGATAATCGGAAGCAAACACTGAGGAGGGACAGAGTCAAAAGAGAGAGTAGAATAAATGGGGGAGTAGAATAGGATGAAGGGAAGTATACTTAGTTTTTCATAACAGGACTACTATGGAAGTGTTTTGCATGACTTCACATCTATAACCTGTACCGAGATGCTTGCCTTTTCAATGAGGGTGGGTGGGGAGGGAGGAAGGGAGAAAATTTGTAACCCAAAGCTTCAAAAACACATGTTAAAAATAAAAAAATAAAAAATTTATAAAAAAAAATTGATCCCAGGGTGAAAGGGGCTCTGTATCAGGCTTTTTGTGCCAGTGGCTACAGGCCCTGGCTGTTTACTTGGTGCTGTGCTAATGTTGCCCTGAGGCCCATGGGGGACCCTCGTGTCTGGTGCTATGTTGAATGGGTGGGACGGGCCGATGAATGGCTGGCACTACTAGAGGCTGAAAGGGTCTGGAAGCTTACCTGATGCTGAGCCAGCATCCTAGTGGTGGTGTCTAGCCTGTGCTGAAGCCAGGTGGTATTTTTCTGTTTCCTTGGTTCTACACTTAAGCATGGGGAGATCCAGCCACTGGAAGACACCTGCCTGCCTAGAGCCACACTGACGCATCCAGGGCTTCAGAGGGAGGGTGCCAGACCACCTGGAGCTGTGCTAGAGTATGTGAACGTCCAGCTGCTACAGGAAGCCCATCCCTCGCCCTGGCTGTCCTAAAGCACGTATTGGTTCTTGGAATTGGAGTCTGCCAGTTCCCCTGGCTATGCTAAGGCATCTACGGGGTCCTAGTGTTGGCATTGCCTGCCCCACCAGACAGGCTCAGAATCTCCTGCTGGTTTGTTGGGGTGGGACTTGCTGCTGGCTTGCTGGGACATTTCCTGTCCTGGACTGCACTCCCCTTTTACCAGAGTGATATGGACTTTTTCTTGTACACCCTCCATGTCTCTGGGGCTAAAAGACTGCTCCACTCTTGTCTTTCCACCGACTCCACTGTTCCAGGATTTGTTCTGGGGCACTATGTTATGGTTGTTTGGAGGTGAATATGGGAGAGCTACAGCAATTTACTGCTCACTCCACCATCTTGGCTCCTGGAAGTCCTAGCACAAAGAAGAAATTAGCAAATTTCTTATTTGTGTTTTTGTCTACACTATTGCCAAGTCTTTAGTCTGGCCCTAAGTAAGTGGATTTTCATTGTAAAAGTAGATTTGTTTTAGGCAATTAGGGTTAAGTGACTTGCCCAGGGTCACACAGCTAGTAAGTGTCTGAGGCTAGATTTGAACTCAGGTCCTCCTGACTTCAGGGCCAGTGCTCTATCTACTGCACCACCTAGCTGCCCCTGTAAAAGTAGATTTGAACTTGCAAGTCTTACATTTCACACAAGGCAATGATGCGCAGAATCACTTCCCCAAAATGCAATGAGTCATTCTCAGGACTACAGGGATAATTAAACAGAACTTTCAGATCTGCCTTGTGGCAGGTTGTCCCTTTACTGATGCAGATCATAAGCTAATTATCTGGATGACCCCAGGCAAGTCATTTAACCTCCTTCTCTAATTCCCAGTTTCCTCATCGATAAAATGACAAGGTTGAGCTTGATGACCTCTAGAGTCCCTTCCAGCTCTGAACTTTGTCCCTGTGAAACTTCTTAGTAAATAGTCAGACTTGCTATAACTGCACAATCCATCTCAGTCACTGTGGTCATGAGCCTCTCTCTAAACTTAACTAGATTAATCCTTGGACAGTGAGAATGAAGTCCACCACCAGGACTACACCTGAAGCCTTTTCAGTCTGGTAGGGCCATGCAGTCTTGGAGAAACCAGAGCCTCCTCTAAGCCTTGGTGACCATCAAAGGAGAATTTTAATGGAAACCAAAGGAAATAGTATTGATAATTTTGACAACTTTTCTTCCAGCTATGGACATTATCCTGGAAATTATATTTTGCCTTTACATAAATAATACAGTTCTTCAAAATGCAAATTAATAGTAGTGTAGAGTAGTGGAAGGAACAGCTAGGTGGCACAGTGGATAGAACTCAGGCACTTCAAGAAGAACTGAGTTAAAATTCATCCTTAGACACTTGCTGGCTGTGTGGCCCATGGACAAGACAGGATTAACCCTGTCATCATCTGTAAAATAAGCTGGAGAAGTAAATGGCAAAAAACTCCAATATCTCTGCTAAGAAAACTCCAAATGAGGTCATGAAGAGTCGGACACAACTGAACAATGACTGAACAACAACAGAGTAGTAGACAAAGCAATAACCATGGGGAGTAATAGCTCTTCCACTTACAAGCTCTGTTGTTTTGTTTTGCTTCGGACCAGTTTAGTGGTTTCATTGGTATGAGGTAAGTAAAGTCCCTCTACCAATGCAGAGCAGCTACCCTTCTTCAACTTAGTCTTTGAGAGTTGACTATGCCAAATGAAGTGGCTTATACAGGGTCACAGAGTCTGGGTGTGTCAGAGTCAGAACTTAAACCCAGGTCTTCCTGACTTGGGGGCTAGCTATCTGTTATAACACTACTAACAAATCTTTTCCCCTTTGTAGAACCCATTCCTCATCTATGAAATTAGAGGATGGGGTTAGATGATCTCATAAGCTTCCATGGCTTCAGTTATTTCCTCTATGCAAATGACACCTAAATCTCTATATGTAACCTTGAACTCCTGATCTGGCGCCATGTCCTACTGTGCCTTTGACATCTATGATCTATGATCTCCATCTGGATGTCCATGAGTACCTCAAACTCCAATACCCAGAAACATATTCATCACCTTCCTCCCAAAACGTACCCTTCCTCTCAACTTCCCTGTTTCTTCTGATTTCACTATCATCTTTCCAGTCACTCAGATGCAAGACCTCAGGCATTTTTTAGTCTTCCCTCTTCCTCATTCTATTCTTGTCTCCAGTTACCCTGTCCTGTTTATTCTAACTCCTCAATATGTTTATGGAATCCCTAAAAAAAAGAATCATCTAGTTTATGTTTAAAGCTCTCCAGTCATGAGCAATCCACTTATTCCCAAGTTGACCCACTCTACTTTTGGATTTTGTTGTTTAGCCGATTAGTCTTATCTGACTCCTTGTGACCCCATTTGGGGCTTTCTTGGCATTTCTTTCTCTAGCTTATTTTACAGATGAGGAAACTGAGGCAAACAGATTGAGTAACTTGCCCAGGATCAAACAGCTAGTAAATGTCTAAGGCCAGATTTGAACTCAGGTTCTCCTGACTCTAGGCCTGGCACTCTATCCACTGTGCCACCTAGCTGCCCATAGCTGACCACTTTTGGGTAGCTGCAATATTTAAGAAATTTTCCCTTATACAAAGCCAAAATCTGCCTTCCTGCAACATCTACCCCATTGTTCCTGTTTCTATGGTCTGGGGGAGAGGGAGAGAAGAATAAGTCTATTACAAATATTTGAAGACAGCTTCCAAATCCCAGCTAAGTCTCCTCTCCAGGCTAAATATCTCTAATTTCTTCACCTGATCCTAATGGCCTCCAGTACCCTCATCATCCTAATCCTCTACCTCTGAAGGCATTTCAGTTTCTCATTATTCTTCCTAAAATCCAATGCACAGAAATATACATGATACTGCAGATGTGTCCTGACCAGGAAAGAAAACAATGGGTCTCACTTCTATAGACTCATATTCAACTGATTTCTGTCCCCAGGATAGGACTTTACATTTATCCCTACTAAACTCAGCGTTACAGATTCAGTCTGCTGTTCTAGCCTGGTGAGATATGTTTGGATCATTACTTTGTAATTCAATAGCTTAGCTATCACTCCTAGCTTTGGGTCATCGATGGAACTCCTAAGCCTACCATCTATGCCTTTATCCAAAAAACTACTAAAATTATTTAACAGCACAATGCCAGCCACGGATCCCTGAGGCATTTCACTAGAGGCTTCCATCCATGTTGATAGGGATCCATTCAAGATCACTTTGGGGGGCCAGTCATTTAGTCAATCCTGAAACTACCCCTACGACACTATGATCTGTGTGTTGTGTTCAGATGTTTCAGTCATGTCCTACATTCCATGACCCCATTTGGGGTTTTCTTGGCAAAAATACTAAAGTGGTTGGCCATTTCCTTTTCCAGATCATTTTACAGGTAAGGACAGGGTTAAAAGACTTGCCCAGGGTCACACAGCTAAGTAAGTATCTGAGGCTGGATTTTAATTCAGGTCTTCCTGACTCCAGGCCCTGTGTTTTATCCACTGTGCCACCTAATTGCCTAAGACTATCTTAATATTTTTCTATTCTGTCTCTCTGCCTCTATTGTCTTATCTTTCACAGAGATGCCAAAATAACTTCCCTAATGCAAAGAAACTTAACTGTGGACCATATATCTTCCTTCAGTGGCTATCCTTTGCTTCTTCCTCCCCTTATCCCATCCATTTTGCTATCAATTTAGATCATAGGTTGTAGAAGTGGGTAACATTTTTTCAAATAAACACCTTTCTTAATTACAGAGTCCAGAAATGCAGAGGTTGTTGGCAATCTGGTTATTTGATATTTTGAAATATTTTTAAAACACTTCAATGATTTTTGAAAATCTTATCTTTAAATTTCTAATAGCTACTCCGTGGATTATTACAAGCTAACAAGTCAGTTGTTGTGTCTAAAGAAACTGCTGCTCTATTCTTTGTACATGAAGCAACCCGTGTATTTCATGATCGCTTAGTTGATGCTGAGGAAAGAGAATATTTTTTCCAGCTTCTTTCAAGTGAACTAGACCTTTATTTTGAGGTAAATGTATTCATTTTTTAAAAATTTCATTGAGAACTTTGGGGAAAAGAATACTGTTTTCAGAAATAGTCCTGAAATGTGTTGTCTGAAGTGTAATTTTTTAAATTGCTTTTAAATTAAGCAACTAGTTGTCACTTGAAAAATCACTGAAAGGTCAGTTAGGTGTTACAGTGAATAGAGCACCGGCCTTGAAGTCAGGAGGACCTGGGTTCAAATCCAGACTCAGACCAAACACTTGACACTTACTAGCTGTGTGACCCTGGGCAAAGTCACTTAACCCCAATTGCCTAAAAAAAAAGAAAAAAGAAAAATCACTGAAGAGTCTCCCTAAAGCTATCACAAAGAAGCAACAATCCCTGGGCTCAAATATGTTTCAGATTAAGTTCGCTCCTCCATCTGAGATATCTGTTGAACTTGTAGAAAACACTATTCCCACCAGTACCATCACACATACTTGGAAAATTTAAATGAAGATATTATCTCTCAACAGGAAGAGAGAGAAGCTTCCAGTGTATTTATGGGCCATAGGAAATAGCTCCCTGACTTCTGCTGAGGAAGGGAAAAAAACCTTCTTTTTCTCATCAAGGAAACGGAGGAAGAGCTTTTCCACCCATGTCTGAAGTTTTTGGTTCTCGCCCTTCCCTCACTGGGATGGCCAAAGGAAGGAAGAGTTTTCTCCACCGGTGGCCGAGAAGATTTTAGTTTTTGTCTTTTCCTGGTACGATGGCCAAAGAAGAGTTGGACCAGAGGATCTCAGGGTCTAGAAGAATTGGACTTTTTTGTCTCCATCCTGTCAGTGTCCCTAGAATAGTGGTGAGTGCATCAGTGTGTCACCAGACAAGTCAAGGAGATGAGTCAGCTTCAAGACTCTACCAGGAATTCAGCAGAAAACTTTGGTAGACTCCAGCACAACTCCTGGGAGTCGTTACCATCTTTGTACGTGCGCTCCGTGCCTTAACCCACTTTCTCCTGGACTCTGTATGTTCTTGTAGGAGAGTATGTCATGAACTTGGGAAGGAAGGGGGAATGTTTACATACCAACTGTTCCTACTTTACCACCATAGCAGATTCTCCTTTCTCAAAGCTAATTAAATCTGGTTGATGAATTGATATCAACTGATAAGCATAGAGAGAAGCATACCGGCAGAGGCTCACGAGATACGGTCTTAAAAACTATCCTCCAATCCTGTAGAGCTAATTCTTTAGCCCCAAGGGAGCACAGTAGCCACCCTCCAGAGACCTGATTTGTCAGTGAGATTAGAAATTGAAGTGGTGGCTAGAAAAGCAAAGGGCCGTTATTGCTATATCTCTACTGCTATTAAGAACAGAGTTACGGTGCTCCTTACACAGACAGAGGCCACAAGTCATAACATCATAGATTTAGAGCTGGAAGAGACCCTGGAGGCCATCAAGTCCAATCCCCTTATTTTACATATGAGGAAACTGAGGCTGAGAGAAGTGACTGGCCCATCGATATGAGTTTGCAACATCCTAGAGCTTTGTTCTTCACAATGACGAGAAAGATTCCAGCAAGGGCAATAACTTGATATTGAAAGGCAAAAGAAGTAGGAGGCAAAGAAAAACTCAGCAGCAAAGTAGTATAGAAATAACTAGTTCACTTTACATTAAAATGGAGGCTAATTCTAAAATGTAATTGTTCACGACCAGAGAAGATATAGAAGGTTCCTCTCTCTTTTCCTCCATGACACAGGGACATGAATTACAGCGCAGATGGGATTGATAAGACGTGGCAACTGATGGGTTATGAGGGATGGGGGGAAAGGATAAGTCAAGAATGTCTCTGTAGTTGTAAAACTAAGCTAATGGCACCTTCAAAGTCTGAGCATAGTTGAGCACAGTGGGAAAAGGGCACAGCTTAGAAATAAAGCAGAGGTAGATGTGAAATTACAAAAAAAAAATCATTCTTGGAATTGGGGCGTTTGAGAGTCCAAGAAATGGAGATAGCACAATTAGGAATGATGGAGAGATCTAAGATATGATCCTCTCTCTGGGAGTGAAGATGTGGTTTATGGGGATTGAAGAGATGGGTGAACTAGAAGATCAGCGTTTTTAAGAGGATATCAACATGCATACTGAATTGTGAGAGGCACAGGTGGTAAGCTGCAAGCCTGGATCGAGACAGTTTGGTCGAGGATTCTTATTACTCTTCAAAACTATTTTTGGAGAATAAGTTCCTCCTTCTAGTAGAATTACATTAAAAATAGCTTGAAGTATTTCCAGTTTCATGTCAAAACTCTACTGCAACAATGTCAGCTTTGTATCTCAGTTATTTACATACACATGTTGCCAGACACTTATTTTTTTAAGTGAGTCTACATTACTTCAGTTGAAGTTAAGAAATTTATGTATTTTATTTGAAAATATAGCATTATACCTCATCACTCACAAGCAAATGTTCAGACTGAGAAGATGGTGCAGCTGCTAAAAAGGTTTTTAAGCAGATCATCAGAAGAAAAGGTCAACTCTATTTGCCAAGTTTTCTCATTCCTCAACTTGTCATTATGTTCAACATCAGGCCTGCTGAACTGTTATTGGGACAGCATCTCAAGATTTGCCTCAATCATATTTTTCCAAACTCACATGAAAGCATATTAAATAAGTGAGAATATATTCCAGATATGTGCACCTGGTATTAGTTAATTATTACTATTATGAGTCATTTGAATTATTTGAGTTCTAGTCACCATAATTGATGAGGGTGAGGCAGCCTAAAGTTGTGGCCATATTGAGACATCCAAATAGATGTGTGGAAAAATGGAAATGTAGAAAAGATACTGGACTAGAAGTCTGAAAACAGACATTCTAATATTAGTTGTGTCACCAAATAGATCTAAGACTTTGAACAAATCACTTTTCATCTCTGGGAACTTTAGTTTACCATCTATAAAATGGGAGAGATTGGATTAGATGACTAAGGATTCTATCCAGCTCTAAAATTCTTTGATTTTATCATTGAGTATAACAAGCTTAGTTCCAGTTTGGGTGATGGAGAAGCTAAGAAATTTAAGCCACAAAAGCTATTTGTTTTGAGAATGTAACAATGAGGGCTAAGATCCTTTATATAGAAATCTGCTATTGTTAAAGTCACGCATTACAGTCCTTGGGAATATATGTTATATCCTATATCATGTTTCCTCCAGAAAAATAAGTCTATCTTACCTCTAACATTTTGCGTATAGATGCTAATCCAGAAATAACTGCCTCTATCACTCTTGAGAATGTGTAAAAGTTACCAAATCATGTTTTTAATAAGAATTCTTAGAAACATTAGGGTTTCTATACCAGTCTGAAAACTTTCCCTAAGACTGCATAAACTAGTAATATTTATGTGACCCTAATAGTTATGAGTCTAAATACAAGACAGAAGCTTGCTTGAGATTTTTTTCCTTCAATAGTAACTTGGTTAAAGACACTGCTGAGAGAGCTAATCACTGATTTAGAAGTTCCCAAGCTCCCCCATGCAAATACCAAGTTTATATTGAAGAGCTGAGAACACCACAAGACAGCCTGAGGATTTCACCAGATCAGGAGACAAATATGAAGACAGTAGCAGTAGAACAACCAATCATTCAGAGCTATACCTGGTACCAGAGACAGGGTCATGAGACAGGATTTCGGCTAGCAGAGCGTGGACGTTGCTACAACAGTTTTATGGCCCACAAAAGACAATGGAGTGGAGTTTGTTGGAACACCTAAACCACCCCAAGGTTGAAGAATCTGTGTAGGCTCCTACACTGATCTAACTTCCATGAAGGACTCCAAATGACCTTGGAAGAACCTAAGACTCTGCTTTCTCTGTCTGCAAAATATCTTACAGTTTGGGGTTTTCTTTTAGCCGAATTTCACTTTGGCACCTAAAGGCCATATCTTCCTCCAAGTGGAAAGTTTGTTATCAGCCACCAAGCATGAAATTTTCCCAATTTTCACCCAGATTATAGGGTTGAGCCCATAAAAATCCCTGTGACATTCCCAAAAGAGAATCTGGGCTCTTTTTGATAGGATCATCACAGACAATGAGGGATTGCATTAGTCTCACTGATAAGTGAAATTGTATTTTATTGGATTCCGTTTTTTAAAAAATGAATTTTCTTCCCATAGATTTTATGGCCCACAGACAAAATAATGAATGATTTACCTTTGTATGTGGATTTTTTGGATATAAACAAACCTCATAAGAGAAGGATCTATCAGAACTGTAATAACCAGAAAAAACTTGCAGATATACTTTCTGAATTCCAGCTATCATTGGGCTCAACTGGTTTTGAGGTAATAAGAGATGTTACATAATCTGCTGCCAGTAACTATTGCCTTCAAGTTTTAAGGAACTTTTCAAACATATTGGACAGGAGAGAGGAATCCACTGCTCAGGTTTCAAGATGAGCTCTTTTAAGTGTAAAGCTTTGTATTATTTTGCCCCCCAGGACAGATATGATCTTAAAGACGGGAAAGTCAAGTTTTGGCAACAGGGCTTTAAAGCGTAACATCCAAGGAAAAGAACTGGTGGCATAGAGTTGGGAAAGTAATGTCAGATGGAAATTACATGGAAGGAGAGAATGGGGTAAGGGCTCACAGGACTAGAAGTTTCCTCAAAGGCCAAATAGTCCAATGTCCTTCAAGAATGAAGGCTCTATATAGGACCGCTTCCTCGAGGGGACACCTCATGAGGGAGAGAAGAAAGAGAGCAGCAGCTACAAGCCTGTTTTGGATTTTCTTTTTCCTATTTCTGAGTATCAAGCAGGTGATGGTCATTCAGCAAAGGAGAAAAAGTAGAGGAAGGGTCAGCTAGTCCAGAGACCAGCTCCTGAGAGCAAGAATGCTACAACCGCTGCTACTCATCTTGTTTTTGGCTTCTTCCTCTCTGGCTTTGCTTTTTGTGTCAGAGAGAGGCAGCAATAGCAGCCAGGTGCATGAGATGGTCTTGTGTATGGATTATGCTTTATTCAGGTTTTCTCCTCTCAGAGAAAAATTTAAACCATTTTATAAAGACACGATTGTTAAAGTTCTTTATTTCACTCCTCTCTCCTATTATGCCAAGCCACAATGGAATTAGATATTCCCCCACCCTGGTACCGCTGAGATGTATTTCTTCCTTCCTTTTCCTTTCCTAGCTTTCAAATTCAATGGTGTTCTTCAAGGAAGCCACGGAACATGTTTGCAGAGCTGCAAGAGTCCTTCGACAGCCAGGGTGCCACATGATCCTGGTAAGAAAAGAAAGCTTACAAATAAATATTTAAAGTTCTCAGGTTGTAGACAGCTTAAGAAATTCAGTAAAAATAGCTTTCCTTCTGAATATTTCGTTAGCACTAGTCGTTGAAAAGCACAGGATTTGAGAGTTTATGGATTTTAACAAAAAGATTTCTTGGATGTGATGAAGTTGCAAGTCCATAAAACAAGATAATAATTTTCCAATATTTCACATAAGACACCATAAACACATAAAATAATACCAAAGTAGATTATGTGTGCATGCAGGTGTGTGTGCCTGCATAGGATGGATTTGGCACCATCTAGTGGTCCTTTACATTATCTCACCTTAATCAGCCATGCATGTGACCTGCTTTGAAAAAATGTTCCACTAATTGACTTAAATATTACTAATGTTCCTAAAATTATGAGCTTTACTAGAAAAAAAAACATTATTTAGACCCTAAAAGTTGAGAGTTCTCTACACACCTAGAGAAACCTCATCATACAAATAAAGGATAAAAAGTTAGAATAAGACTTTGAAGTAAATAAATTAGCCTCATATCATTGAAACTTTGCTGGCCAGAGCCATTGAAACAAATGAATTATGTCTAGGGGTATTAAACCATTAAGTATTTTTGTTTCTTCATAAATAAATATCACCAGTAGGATCCAATTAAATTAGAAAACTTTTTTTTTTTTAATTCACAATGCTACTTTCTGCTCTGGCAGCATTGACACACATGAGGATTTGAGTAAATTATATTTCACAGAATCTTGGTGTTATAGAGAATCCCAGGGACCATCTGGCCCAAACTTAGAATCCCTTCCACAACATCACAAGTAGTCATCCAGCCTCCACTTGACAATCTGGGGGGGCAGGAGAATCCATTACCCACTGGGTCAACAACCCATTGAACTTTTTGACAGCTCTAATTACAAACAAGTATTTCCTTACATAAAGTCTGTCTTCCTTTGCATCTTCTCCCAAATGCTATGAGCTCTTCTTTTTGGGAACAAGGAGAAAGAATCTAGTCCATGTGCCATATGATATCCCTTAAAATAACATTAATACTAATACCCAAGCTCCTCATTACCACCCCCTTCTCCTCACTAAATGTTCTTAGCTCCTTCAGCCAGCCTCCAAAGAAAATGGTCTCCAGAGAGTTTTCCAGATACACCTATGTGCATATACAAACACACACATACATACATGCATACATGTGTGTACACCCTCACGAATTATAACACTTACCATTTTTATATGCCAATTATGAGGAAGGGATGTCTTTATCATCCTCCTCTGGAAGCACTCTCCAGCTTCTCTATTCAATGACCTTCCTAAAATATGACATCTAGAATTGAGTATATTATTCCAGCTAGAGTCTTTGTATCTACTAAGAGTTCCTCATGTAGACAATAACCATCAGTTAAGTAATTGAGTTGAAGCTAATTTGCTAATATTTGATGGAAAATTTAAAAGATATTTTGTCATTTTTGACATGATTACAACACATAAAAATGTTATTTCTGCATATGAGTATACATATATGCATTTGAAAAATCACATGAATGGCTAGAAATCCTTTTCACTTCAAGTATTTAGTAAGCCCAACTCTCACTTCCAGGTCAAAGGGAATAGGAAGCCACCAAAATATATGCACAGAATTACTTTAGACATCCTTCTACAGATGTATGGAGGTAATAAGAGGTAATAATAATATAGATAAAGAGACTCTGTGAATTGCCCATGTGTAATCATGGGATCATATATTTAGATCTGAAGGAACCTTAGAAGCCATTTAGTTTACCCCCCTCATTTTACAAATTAGGTAACTGAGCCCATAAAACTTGTACCTATTTATTGTATTCAATTTTTTTTTTTACAGAAAACTCAACAACGATTTTAAATAATAAAACATGGTAGTTCACATAGGTGGTAAGACTCACAGGTAGAACTTTAACCCATTCTAATCCAAAGAATGCAGTTCTGGAAAGGAGTACAGACAAGAGTAAGACAAATGAAGAGCAAGGTTGATTGGTGACCATGTTATTATAACTACTTTCTGGATCTCACGCACAGACTCTTCTCTCTATCCCTAGAAGATATAGCTACATGCACTAAGTAGGCCTAGCTAGAAGCCATCCAGCAGCAGTCAAAAGCATCACTATGGGTTATGATTAGCACATTCTATGATACATTTTGGCTTAAGTCTGGACACATATGCAATAGGTTGTTCTTCGGGATTCCTAGGAACTAAAGAATGTGCATATTAAAAGAAAAGAATCAATGATGCAAATTCTTTGTGTTGGTAATATATGTGTGTATTCAATAGTACCTTTGCATACCATTATTAGACTCCTTGAGGACATAAGTGTGATTTAATCAAAGATGACTTAGTCAATAAAAGGCTGTATATACATCCTAAGATCATGTAAACCATCCATATAAGCTTTGGGAGGGGCTAGGCGCTTCAGGGGGAAAAAAAGGACCTTTTGGGGAAGTAAATAATAAGTTAAGAAAATGGATACCTGAGAAAAGGATTTGGATTTCTGGACTATGGATTAAATATAGATGGTAGACTGCACCTAATAAGAACAACTAAAATTAATTTACCTGGAGTTTTGCAAATATGATTAAGACTATCTTTCTACATCCTGTTGAAATTTGATGAAATGTTCTCATGTTGCTTTTTCAAAGGGCTTTTTTAAAAAAAAAAAAGTACATTGTGGTAAGTGTAAGAAAACTGTCTTATGAATCTTTGATAGGGATGGGGACCAGCCCTTTTATTTTCCTGGTATAAGGAATTCCCTGGTGAGGTAACTCCCTCTACCAATGCATGTTGCCACCTTCTCTGCAACTTAAAATCTTAGAGTTGCCTGGGAGGTGGGGGAGGGGCACTGAGAGGTTATGTAATTTGCCCTGGATCCCATAGCCAGTACACATCAGAGGCAAGACTGGAACACAGGTCGTCCTGCTGCAAAGCCAAATCTCTATCTGCTACAGGATAGGTAGGACTTGTTTAAAGCAGGCTGAGAAGAGCTACCAAAAATCTAAGTTATATTCACTCTCTACTCTTAGCATATACAAACAAAAGTCTTTGTTGAAAGATTTCTCAAAACCCATTGGTTTCATGATCCATTTTCTCCCCTAAAGATTGGAATAGAAGGATGTGGAAAAGAAACATGTGCCACCCTTGCCTGTTATTTGGGAGACTGCAAACTCTACAGATTATCCACAGCTCGTACTTATGGCCACCTGGAATTCAGAGAAGACTTAAAACAAGTCTTTCTACAGACAGGACTAGAAGGAAAACCCACTGTTTTGCTTATTCTTGATACAAATCTAACTCAGGTAAGTTATGGATCATTGTTTTAAAGACTGATGTGTAAAATATCTGTTTTGCAAAAAAGTGACAATTCTATAAAATGTGTTTTTGCTTCCTTAGCATTTTAATTCATTAAAGATATTTGGTAAGGCAATCTGAGTCATTTGATTCAATTCCCTAATGAAAGTAGAATGCCTGATTGATACTATGTTTACTTAGTTTTCCTAAATGACATCTATCTTGTCAAAAAACTTCATTTTAGCTTCCTCATTGCCTAAACCTATTTCCAGTAGTAAATTAAACATCTGAAGGAATGAAATAATTCTTTTTAAAAATTTTTTAACATTTTTATTTAAAGTTTTGAGTTCCAAGTTCTATCCCTCCCTTCCCTCCCCCCCACCCCGAGATTGTAAGCAATCAGATATATGTTATACATGTGCAATTATGTAAACATTTCCATATTAGTCATTTTGAACGAGATTTGAATAAAAGGAAAAAAATGAAAGGAAGTAAACAATAGCATGCTTTAGTCTGTATTCAATCAATATCAGTTCTTTCTCTGGAGGCAGATGGTATGCTTCTTCATTAGTCCTTTGGACTTTGGTCTTGGATCATTGTACTGCTGAGAATAACTAAGTCATTCACAATTCTTCATCGAAGAATATTACTGTTACTGTGTACAGCATTCTCCAGGTTCTGTTCACTTCACTTTGCATCAGCTAACATCTGTCCAGGTTTTTCTGAAATCATCCTGCTTGTCATTTCTTATAGCACAGTAAATAGTCCATTACAATCATACACCACAGCTTATTTAACCATTGCCCAATTGATAGGCATCCCTTTAATTTCCAACTTTTAGCCACCACAAAAAGAGCTGCTATAAATATTTTTGTACAAATAGGTCCTTTTCCCCCTTTTTTTTTTTTTTGGATGTCTTTGGGATACAGACCTTGTAGTGGTATTGCTGGATCAAAGGGTATGCACAATTTTATAGCCCTTTGGGCATAGTTCCACATTGCTCTCCAGAGTGGTTGGATCAGTTCACAACTCTACCAACAGTACATTAGTGCCTCAGTTTTCTCACATCCCCTCCAACATCCAACATTTTCCTTTTTTTGTCATATTAAGCACTCCAATAGGTATGAGGTGGTACCTCATAGTTGCTTTAATTTTTTTAATTTAATTGTTTTCTATTGTGCCTCACTCTAGAACAAGGGCAATTCCTGCAATTGACAGAGAAGACACTGCCCCATAATAGGACTCTTCCACCAACACCTCCTTGATTATTTAGCCCATTACTGATTTTTATCCTCTCCCGATTACCTTCTTTCCTCCATTTGCCTCAGAGTCTCCTCCCTGGGTCCATGCCTTCTAACTTTCCCAGTGGTCAGTTGTCCTCAGAAGTTCTAACTCCATGCCCCACCCCACTCCCACTTCCCACATCCAGGATAAGTGGTCTTTTCAAGCACCAGATTCCCCAGACCACACCCAGCACAAGGTCCTCATCTACATTCAGAGAATATCTCTCTTCACCCAAAGGAGCATACAAGCAAGGCCTTCTTCTTTTCCTCCCCACTTTTCAATCTTTCCCCCCTCCTCTGAAACCACTCCCCTGTAGGCTTTTCTCTTCTTGAGACCACAGGGTTCACCTTTCTTGACCTTGAATTTCCCCAGGAACATCACACACTCTATTCCCTATCATTCACCATCCCATTTCATAATGTAGACCCCCCCCAAAAAAAACACTATTGATTCACTTTTAGGCAAGGTATCACCCCATTCTATCCATATTACCCCAGGTCTGCATCTTCACTGTTACCTCCACTTGACTTCTGCCTTCACCCTTGTATCTTTGTGCACATTTAGAAAGACATCCCTTATGGGTCTCTCTCTGCTGTCAATTGTTGTTTCTGTCCTTCTTTGGCTGCTATATTCATTTATTCCTCCTGCATTTCTCTTATCTGGGCTGTTGAAAAAGCAAATAATCTCTTCAGTTCTGGTTTTCTTTCCAAGAATGTTCCAGATGTCTCTATTGTTGAATGTCCATCTTTTTTCACATATGGTTAACGCTCAGATTCGCAGCATAGATTCAGCCTGGGCTGTACCTTGAGCTCCATTGCTTTTCAGAACACGTAATTCCATTTCATCCTGCATTTTCTGGTGGATATTGAATAATCTTGTATTATTTGAATTGCCTTTTCTTTGTATTTGAAGGTCCATCTCCTGATAGTTTGCAGAATTTAATTGTTTCTAAACTGAATTATTAAATTTAACCACTATGTGTCTTGTAGTTTGAAGCCTGGGGTTGTTTATTGTTGGATTTTTTTCTTCTGGATGCAATCTATGAATACTTCAATTTGTATATCTCATTTTCTATGTTCAGAAGTTCTGGACAGTTCTCTTGTATTATTTCCTGCAGTATGGTGTTATAGCTTTTTGTTCTGTCCTGCGTTTCTGGGAAACCTATGATCTTTAGGTTGTCCCTACACATCATATCTTTTAGATAAGTATGTTTTGCTTATAAAATGAGCATATTTTCTTTTGATATTATTGCCTTTTGATTCTCTTCTTCTAGATTGTCTTTCACTTCTATGTATTTACATTCCCAATCTGTTGTTCTCTCTCTGGTTTCTTTGGTAAGACTTCCCATTGGAGAATCCAGATTTTCTGTTCTGCCCATTATTTTTGCTGTGCAGGCCATAAATTCTGTTCTCTTACTTCCCATTTCTCTTTTAAACTATTCAAGAACAGCATGTGGTGGTTTCATGTTCTCCTCCACAGGGTCCTCCATCACATCAAGTGTTGGATCATTTCCCCTTTTTTGCAGTATTTATACATAAACACCTAAACACATTTACTAGATCTGGAAACCATATTTTCTTCTGCTATTATTGTTTTCCCTATTGTTTTATTTGCTTATGTTTGAGATCTTTGAGTTTTCTTCTTACTGAGATCTTTGGTAATTTCAGCCTTTCTTTTTCTTAATTTTCCCTACTATTCACTTTCTGACCCCCTGACCTGGTAGTTTTCTGATCTGGTAGTTTGGGGGCTGGGTCTCAAAGCCTCTCAACCTCCTCACATTCTGGGCAATTATTTTTCTTTTTAAAAAAATTCCACTTATTTATTTATTTATTTATTTATTTATTTATTTCTAGTTTTCAACATTCACTTCTATAAAATTCTGAGTTTTAGATTTTCTCCCCCTCCCTCTGCTTTCCCCTCCCCAAGATGGCATGCTGTCTGATATAGGCTATACATATATAATCATACTAAACCTATTTCCACATTAGTTATGTTGCAAAGAAGAATTAGAACCAAAGGGGAAAACCATGAGAAAGAAGAAACCAAAAAAAAAACAAAAAAAGAGAGAGAGAGAGAGAGAGAGAAAATAGTATGATTCAATCTGCATTCAGACTCCATAGTTCTTTCTCTGGCTGTGAATAGCATTTTCTATCATGAGTCTTTTGGAATTGTCTTAAATCCTTGTATTGCTGAGAAGAGCTAAGTCTATTAAAGTTAGTCATTGTGCAATGTTGCTGTTACTGTGTACAATGTTCTCCTGGTACTGCTCACTTCACTTAGCATCAGTTCATGTAAGTCTTTCCAGGTTTTTCCAAACTCTGCTCATCATTTCTTATGAAACAATAGTATTCCATTACACTCATATACCACAACTTCTTCAGCCATTCCCCAATTGATGGGCATTCCCTTGATTTCCAATTCTTTGCCACCACAAAAAGAGCTGCTATAAATATTTTTGTACATGTGGGTCCTTTTCCCATTTTTATGATCTCTTTGGGATACAGCCCTAGAAGTGGTATTGCTGGGTCAAAGGGTATGCACATTTTTATAGCCCTTTGGGCATAATTCCAAATTGCTCTCCAGAATGGTTGGATCAGTTCACAACTCCACCAACAATGCATTAGTGTTCCAATTTTCCCACATCTTCTCCAACATTTATCATTTTTCTGTTTTATCATGTTAGCCAATCTAATAGGTGTGATGTGGTGCCTCAGAGTTATTTTAATTTGCATTTCTCTAATCAACAGTGATTTAGAGCATTTTTTTTTCATATTACTATAGCTCATGCTGGGCAATTTATGCCTTACCAACTTAGGTTTCTTCTTCAGGTGACTTTTGGGAGGACAGAATTGGCTCCAGCTGGACACTGAGCTTCTTCCCTCAGGCTTAGTGGAATTCTGCCTAGCCTCCCATACATACACAGTGTCCTGTCCCACTCCCTCACTTCTTTGGCCCAGCACCAGAAGTTCAGAGAGCTGCCTGGTGATGTGGGGTTGATGTCTGTTGTTTGGGTTTCCAAGGTTCTAGGAGAAGGGGTTTGGGACATGGTGTTGAACTCTATTTCAACCCCAGACATATGCCCTACTCCTTTACCTGTGTTCCTGGCTCTCTTGCAGAGATCTTTTATAGCACAGACTACTGCTCTGCATTGCACTGGCTGTGTGGCCCTAGTAAGTTTCTGCCCCTGGAATGACTATTTTTCATTGCCTAAGCAAACTTCCATAGCCTGGAAGCAGGATCTCCAAGGCACTGAAGAGAAGGACGAGGAATGGGGTGTTGCATGGGGTTGGGGTTTTTTGGGATTTTTGATAGCCTATGTTCCAGTTGCTTGGGTTAGCCAGTATACCCCTGCTACTGGCAGTACAAAAGTTGGGAGAGGAGTGCTAAGTGAGCTCAGGGTGGATGTTAGTTCATGGATGTCAGTTTATTTTTCATGGAGCTTTTTGGGGGTTTTTTTCTTTTGGATTCTGAATATCCTGAATTCTAGAAACAGATGAAGTTTCTTTATTTTTTGTGCATAATTTCTGTTTGAAGAAGTTTGAGGGATTGAAAGTATCAGAGAAAATGAGTAGTCCTTCATTCTCTTGATCACATTACCTGTTTGGCTGATTTGAATTATGCATAGACTATAATCTTTACCACCATCAATTTGCCTACTCGCTATAGCTCTGTCAATTTGTTGTGCCTTAGATTAGAAAATATGAGTATTCAGTCACTTCTGATTTTAAAAATATATGTGTTTTTACCCAAGGAGTCTGTTTTAGAAGATTTGAACTCCATTCTCAATTCAGGAGTTCTGCCTGATGTATTTGAAAATGAAGAGTTGGATAATATAGCAGCAGGTCTCAAAAATCTTGATGAAGAAGCCAGTTGTGGTGATAGCCGACAAGCTCTGCTTCTGTTCTTCCAAAAGGTATTGTTTACATGAATTTATTTTTATCAGACTATGAAATCAAATTAATGATACATATTTGAGACCACATTCATGTTTCCATATATAATTTTTCACTGAGTGTTTTTGTCCCTAAAATGAGCTTATTAAGCCAGATCGATGATGATAATTATTTTAAGGTGATCACAAGTTTTTTATACAACATAACCTTTTGGCTTCTTGACATCCTTTATCATCAAGAGATGTGTTCATCCTTAGTGATATATGTGATTTTTGCTAGATTATCTCACACTCATAGTATTATTTGATTTTTATCATTAAGACTTTCTACTCAAAACATCACAGTATCTATCATGTGATTTTCCTATTAAATAGCTATAAATAATCCCCTTTTGCTCCCACATCAAGATTAAACTCTTTTGTTTGGCTTTGTGAGACTCATCACAATCTGACTCAATCCTACTTGTTCAACCCTATTCCTTACCACTCTCCAACTCTGCCATTATGTCTTCTCTTTGTTCTTGGCACACACCATGGTCATTACCTCTCTGCTTTTGCTCATACTGATTCCCTATCTGGAATGCATTCCTTCTACTCTGCCTACCCTAATTATATTCAAGCATCAAGACCCAACCTAAGGTCTGCCTCCTTCAGGGAGTTTTTTCTGACTATTTTCATCTCTCTTATTGATGCTATCTGGTATTTTGTGTTTAGGCACATGGCCTGCCAGCACCACCAGATGAAACATCAATAGTAAGAAGCAATGGTTTCTCTCTACCATGATGCAGTAATAAATACTTTGAAGTCATTAACTTATTAACTACAGAACACCCTCATGCTGGTAAAGCTAACACCACAGAATGCCTTTTCCTAGTAGATGATGTATTTCCTCAGCAATAATCACTTTTTATGAAAGAAAAATTCAGGAGAGTGGAAGTCTTAAAATTTTTACTTCATTTTTTGAAGGAGATACATAGATAATTTGGATTCTGGTCCCATGTCTTCTGCTAACAAATTGTTTGAGCTTAGGCATGTCACTTTACTTCTACGGGATTCAGTTTACTCATCTGCAAAAGAGGGACATAGCTGAATGTGAAGTTACCAGACTGGTCCAGCTTTAAGAGAATTCCACCTTTTGTTGGATCTTAGTAAAAATACAAGGTTCACTAAGGGTTTCAATATGATATTACTTTATTTCGGTGAAACTCTGAGTCCTTGTTTTAGAAATCAGATACAACCATAAAAATGCAAAAGAAACAAAATACAACCATGAACAAAAAGGTAACAAAAACACCATACGCACACTCTTGGATAAAGTTCGATTGCATCAGTATCAAATCTGCCGACAGCACACGTCTAGAAGGGCTAGTTAACACAATTAGATGACAGAATCAGGATCCAAAAAGATCATGACAGTCTTGAACACTAAGCCAAACTTAATCGGATGAAAACTCATAGGGAGAAATGTAAAGTATTACACCTGGATTCAAAAAACTGAACTTCAAAAGTACAAAGGGTAGAGTAAGACAGACAGCTGTTTGAAACACATATAGGAGTTTTAATGGACTCTAAGCTCAAGATAAATCAACAGTGTAAGATAGCAGCTAAAAAACTAATGTAACTTTAGGCTATGTTGTCCATGCCTCTGTGTGTTCTATGTTGATCAGCCCCAGTCTATAGTGGTATGTTTGGTTATAAGCACTACTCTTTAGGAAGGGCATTAATGAGCTGGAGAGCATCCAAAGGAAGACAAGCACAATGGGTGAAGAGCCTTGAGTTCATACTGTATGAAGATTTGGTGAAGAACCTGGGGTGTTTAACCTGGAGAAAAGAAGACTTGGGAGAAACACGTTTACTCTAAGTATTTGAAGGATTGTCATATAGAAGAAGTGTTGCCTTTGTCTGAAAGGCAAAACTAGGAGCAGTGGATGAAACCAAGCCAAATCAAGGCAGCAAGCAATTATTAAGCATTTTCTGTGTGCCCTGCAGGCCCTGTGCTAAGCACTAGGAGTATAAATACAAGCAGAAAGACAGCCCCCACCCTTAAAAAGCTTCCATCCTAATAGGGGAAGATGATGTATAAAAGAAAGCTGAAAAGGGGGTTGGGGGAGGAAGCAGAGGGTACCTATGTAGGGAATAATAGAGAAAGTCCAGAGAGTCAGGAGGGGAGCCTGGAGGGGAATGAAGGTAAACATCATATAACCTTGATGCAATGAAAAAACTTCTTAACCAGCCTCAGGTGGTAGTGGGCTCTCCTGCACTGAAGGTCTTCGAGCAAAGGCTAGATTGTGACTTGTTGAGTAAGTTACAGAGGGGGGGCCCTCGTTCAGGTGCAGGTTGGGTGAGGTGTCCGCTTCCAGCTCTGAAATTCTGTAATTTGGTGGTAGCCGTTCAGCTTTACAACAGTGAAACAACAAAATTAATTGCTTTCTATCTGAAAATTATATCCCTTGAAAGATAGAATTGAAACAAATTTTTAGAAGAACATTTTCTCATCATGTAACTAACTTAATTCATCCTTTTCCATTCCCATTCAGAGAATTGCAAGAAATCTTCATATTTTTATGACTGTAAGTCCCGCAGGGCCCAATTTCCGCCGAAATTGTCGAGCATACCCGGCCTTGATTACTTGCAGCACAGTCGATTGGTACGAGAAATGGCCAGAAGAAGCTCTTTTTACTGTAGCAGTGACTCATTTAAAGCAAAAACATGTCCTGGACACCAAAGAGGTAACACTTAAAGAAAAAACTGAAAATGTGTTTTTAAACCCTCTCAAAACAGTATCAAAGTATGAATTTTTATTTGTTGGTAGTATCTGAGCACATTTCCCTTCTACGAAAGCTGCGACATTTCTTCCTTGTTGGCTCTCCTTTCCAGATTTATCCTCCTACCCGTATTCCACCTCCACTTCCAGGGATAGAAGATAGTGATTCCAGGTATAAATAAAAGCCAAGGGAGGTGGTCTCTCCCCCCTTCCCTATCTGTGCCTTTCTGCATAGCCTCAAGGGTCAGGCTGTTGTTATTTTCTGTGTTGTACTCTTTTGTCAATGACTATTAAGATATGCAAACAGATTGGAGGCAAGACAGGATTGTAAAATGATGAGAATGTCACAAGCTACCCATGCAAAGAGGCTTACTTTGTTCATACCACACAATGAGTAGGCAAGAAACTAGAATGGGGAGAGGGACAGGCCACCAAGTGACAGCTAAAGGAAGAGAGGAGGAGTTAAGATAATTCAGTAGCATGTGGAGACCCTTACAGATGCACAGGGTGCCATCTCACTTGAGTATGACACAGAACCTGGGGAACGAATGAGAGAACTATTCCCTGAAATATCCAAGTGCAGATGGACCAAGAATAGAGACTGGAGGGGAATGAAAAGATAGTATAGACATCATAGGCTAACACAGAAAAACATTGGCCACATCCACAGAGGGATCTAGGACCAAGGATAAAACAAGACTGACCTCCCAACCTGGACAAAGCAGGAGTCTATTCCTGTACCTGTGTTTGCCTATCTTTATCGGGTATGTCCTACCTGGAAGTCCTTCAATGCCTCATTGTGACTGAGAGATAACTCTGGGTTCCCAAACACTTTGCCAGCAAAGCATATCCTTTGACAAAATTTAAGAGATTTCCAAGACTGGTCCAGCGATGGACTGTAGATCTCTCGTCTAAGGACCAACCTAACTAAATACAAAAAAATTTCATCACTAATTTGGTCAGTAGATGATGAATTGTTTTTTGACCATGACAACTCATGAAGACTATCTAGCTTGTAAAGCAGTCACAATTTGAGTTAGAGGGAGTAGCCACATCTGTAGAACCCAGAAGATTCCCCTTGATCTTGGAATTTCTAAGTATGGAATTGATGCTTTTATAATTTCTTCTCCCTGTAGTTATTTTGTTGCTTGGGGCTGAGAATTACTACTGGGATGAAACCTAGGAGCTAAGGAGAGGACTACATCCCTGAAACTACCCCCCAAGGAAAACCCCTAAATTCTTAGTTGATATCAATTGAAGAGAAAGGAAAAGCTGTGACTGACATCATACCTTGCTGTGGATTTTTCCCTCTTTCTCATTGCCCCCTCCTCCACCTCCACCACTCAATACACCAATCATCAGATTTTCCAGTTCTATGTATCCCATTCCTTTGGGGTATCCTAGATCAGAGTACTGATAAACTAATTAAAGCAATTAGGAATGCCTCACACATTAAAGATTTCATGAAATGTTCTTTTTCCTCGGTTTCAGTCAGTTATTTTTTCCTAATTATTCTTTTACAGGATTTAATACCTACACTCGCCCAAACATGTGTTCAGTTCCACCGTAGAATTGCTGATATTAATATCAAATTTTGGGAGGAAACTAAAAGACATTATTATATCACTCCAAGTAGCTATCTGCACTTCATAGATACCTTTACACACATCTTGAAATCAAGGGAAAGGAAAATGATGATCAAAAGGTAAGAATTTAAAATCAAAATCAAATTAGAAATACATAATACATCTTTACCCTGGTACTCTAAAAGATTAGGCAAATACTGAGCCCCAAATTTCCTGTCATGGTGGAAAAATAAAGTAGTGTTGTGTAGTGGACTTGGAATCAAGAATCACAAACTGAGAAAGGAAAGAGACCATAAAGGTCAGCTATTTAACAGATAAGGACACTGTAGCCCAGAGAAGGGAAGTGATTTGTCCATGGTCACATGGCTAATCAGTGACATAGATAAGATGTAAAGTCAGGTCCATCAACTCCACAGCTTTCCATTTTGCTATGCTTTTGCCTCAGAAGACCTAAGTTTGGAATCCTGACTTTAATAGACATTAACCATGTGACCGTGGGCAAATTTAGCCTCTCTACACCCCAGTTTCCGAGCCAGTAAATTGAGAGTAATGATACTTATACTACCTACCTACAGAGGTGTAAGCAAAGTAATTTATAAACTGAAAAAGCCTATAAAACATAAGCTATTATTATAAAAACTGATCTCAGAAATTCACAGAGAATGTCTACTAAGATGTGTATAGGAGTTATGATCAGTGTGCATCCATAGAGAGAGATCACCTACCTGGATTGAAATTACAGATCCTTGAAATACTAAATGAGAAAGTATTATAAAGGTACAGATACCTTTTAAAGTTTTACATGAGTCAAGGAAAATGTCCATCACTCACTATATGTTCACAGTATGTTTATCTATGTTCATATGTTCACCCAGCAACTCTGAAGTCAAACATAACATTGTATACATATCCACCAAAGAGAGGAAAAAAAATTTCCTTGCTTAGCACCTAGCAGGTGCTTAAAATATTTTATCATTTTCAAAGCACATTCACATACACATTGCCAAATCCTTTCATAGTCTACCTTCTCACAATCTCTCATATACCTCCCCTTTGATCCACTGACACTGTCCCTCATTACCTCTCACCTGGACTATTACAATAACCTTCTAACTGATCTCTGTGCCACAGATCTCTCCCCACTGCCTGACATCCTCTGTTCAGGTATCAAAGTGATTTTCCTTAAGCCAAGTCTGACCATGTCACCACCTTTCTCAACAAGTTACTGAAATAGCTCCTTGTTATATCCAGGATCAAGAAAATCCTGTCCGACCTTCAGAACTCTTCATAACTTGGCTATTCTTAACTTTCCAGGCATCCCTCCACAAACTCTACAATCCAGCCCCTCTGACCATGCCTTTGTACTAGCTGGCCGTCCTGTATGCCTGGAATGCTCTATCCCCTTACCTCCTCTTAGCTGCTTCCTTCAGGTTGCAAGACAAATTCCACTTTCTGCAGAAGACCTTCTTGGTCTTTCTTTTCTGCTAGCACCTTCTCCTCTCAGTTTACCTTGCATCTCTTGTTTATCTATCTTGTATGTCCCTCATTATTTACACATCATTTTTCCATTAGAAGTTAAGTTCCTTGAGGGCAGGGACTGTTTTTGCCTTTCTTTGAATCCCATAGCTTAGAGTAGTGCCTGGTACATAGCAAGTACCTAATAAATACTTGTTGACCTCACAATGTCTCTGTAAGTTAGGCAAAGGCAGCTATTATTCCCAGGAACCTGAATTTCAAAGAGATTGTATCTTGTCTAAAATCACACAGCTACTGAGTAATGGAACCAGGATTAAAACTACACTTTCTAATTCCTTTTCCAGTGCTATTTACACTACACCATCACCATGCTGCCTAGGGCAGGGATGCCCAGTCTTTTTTGTGAAGAGGAATTGGCCACAAAAGCGATTTACTCACTGTATACCTGGGCAAGTCACTAAACATCTCTAAAACTCGGTTTCTTCATCCATAAAATGAAGATAATCATAGCTACATTTAGCATTGAAACTAGCACAGAGCAAAGGGAATTTTGGCTTAGACAGCCAAAATGGGGACAGGGTGCTTGCTTCCTGGGAAGATTATGTACTTTTGAGGCAGGATATGTTCTTCCTACAGCAACCACCATCCCCAAATTTGAGGGATAAAATATGTACCCCCAGGATCCTATTACCCTTTCCCATGGCCCATCTTAGTCCCTCCAGTACTGTGGGAGGGATGGAACTCTGCACTGCCACCTTCCCCCCCCACCTACACACACACTCATTACTCACCTGGATTTGCTTCAGACAGAGTTTCAGTGGCTCTACTTCATTTCAGACAAATAGTCAAAAGTTTCTGAATGATTTTTAACATCGAATTAGCTTCAATTTTGCAGTATACTGCTAAAGAAAAGCACATCTTAATTTTTGGGAATGGTAGCTTGGTGACTCAGTAGATAGAGTTCTGGGTCTGGAGTCAAGAAGACTCCTCTTTTTGAGTTCAAATCTGACCTCAGACACTTACTAGCTGTGTGACCCTGGGCAAGTCACTTAACCCTGTTTGTCTCAGTTTCCTCATCTGTAAAATGAGCTGGAGAAGGAAATGGCAAAACCACTCCAGTATCTCTGCCAAGAAAACCCCAAATGGGGCCACAAGGAGTCATGCACAACTGAAACAACTAAACAAACAACAACAAATATTTAGAACTTTCTCCCTTATACATGTATGTATACACTTATCCAGGTACAGAGAGATAGAAGGGAAAAAGAAAAATAGAAAAAGACAGAGACAGAGAGAACAATTTCCCTCTCCTATATTCAAGTTAGCTTTCTAACACATGAAGATTTAAACTTTCACAAACTTCTAATTTAAAGTTGTAAAACACATATGCATCAGGAGATGCATATCCCCAAGCCCAGATGCCTGCACTATGCCACATAGAATAAATATATTCTTTATACAATCATTGAGTTTTAAACAAGAAAAACTCAACTTATTTGGCTAAAGGTGCAGTACTGTGACCCTGAGGTAAATAGAAGCATATTTGGTACCTCTGATGTTCTTAGTTAATTTTTTAATCTGTTTTTCTCCTAACACCTTTGAAATGGAATATAGGAATGCCACTTTTCTTTACTCAAGAAGAAGAAAAAAAGTAACTGACATCTATATTTATACACTTCACACTGATTTGATCATTACAACAACTCTGTAAAGTGCTCAGGGTATTTCAATCCTAATTTTATAGAAGAAGAAACTGAGGCTCAGAGAGGCCCAAGAACAAATAGATTAATATGGAGGCATAGCCAGAATTTGAACTTAGTGCCAATGCCTCTTCTATGCCACAGCTGCCTTTCTTAGTCAAGAAGAAGAAGAAGAAGAAGAAGAAGAAGAAGAAGAAGAAGGAGAAGATGAAGAAGAAAAAGAAGAGAAGAAATAACCTTCTGATAATACCCAGTTGTTATTAGGATCACTCCTCACCCTACCCATTGGAATGTAATTCTAATATTTCTCAGCTCTGGCATCCCTCATCAATACCAAGTAGCACTCTGAATAGAGTACTAGACTCATAATCAAGAATACTGACATTTGAATCCTGCCTCAAACATTTACTGGCTATGTGACTCTGGATAAGTCACTTCATCTTTCTTAGCTTCTGTTTCCTCAGTTATCTAATGAGAAGGCTGAACTCAGCAGCCTCTAAGGTCCCTTACAGCTGTAAACGTATGATCCAATGTCCTTATTGATTTGATTACTTCTCTGGGACTGAACTTAATTTCCAAACTCCTTTGTCCAGTGTACTATATGATATAGCATTTAACAATATTCTGTCTTGTACTATTGATTCATATATATTAACCTCATCTAACCAATTAAGATGCATGCTTCATTATGGTAGAAATCTTATCTTAACACTTCTTCTATCTCCCACAATGCCTCGCATTGTAGCAAACAATTGACAAAGGTTCCCTTTGGCTTAAGCCAGCAGAGAATAGTTCTAATTGAGGAATTTTAAGCATCACTAAATCAAATGGGGGTTTTATTTTGTGGGATAGAACCCTCCCAGTCAATCCTGAAATTGAAACTCATCCTCTCAATAACCACAAACCTCCTGTATCTAATGATGTGCAATTGCACATTTTGCACTTGATAATGTTTTTCTTTCTATATATCATGATATCCTATCTCCCCTGGAGATTATGAACTCCTCACAGGCAGGAGCCGTGTCTTCTGTTTCCATGGAAACACTCCCTAAGCTTGTACTACCATGTGGGGTACACAGTGGGAACTTGAGAAATTTTAGTGACTGATAGTCATCATCTTCAAATTCTGGAGTGTTTCTAAGCTGTATTTCTGATGTAAATGGTTTGAAAATTCAGTGCTGTTTTCTTCCAGTAAATAGGTCAGTCAGAGGACACACAAAAACCCCACTTTACAGCTGTTTGATATTTACCTTTTTCAGGGAACGTTTAAATAACGGCCTCTCAAAGATTCTGGAAGCATCAACACTAGTTTCGAAAATGCATGAAGAGCTTCTCATCCTCGGTTCTCAAATAGAACAAAAAACTAAGGTATACTTGGTTGGAAATAGATGTTAATTATGGGTTTCCTGCAGCTTTAAGACATAAGTCAGGAGTTTGTTTTGGTAGCTTGAGATCTTTATATTATTACAAAATCAATTCCTGTCATCATTCTTCACATATATTATCTGAAGGAAATTTTGCTCTGCATTAATCTTCTCAAGACACAAATGCATCCTGGTTGCTTTGATAAATTTGCAAACTCCTGAAATATTGGAAACTTTGATCTGTTTCAGATGGATTCTAAGAAAAGATATGTAGTTTTAGTTTCTTTTTCTTTAGGAAACAGAGATTCTCATGGAAAAATTACAGAAAGATTCACAAATTGTGCAGCAAGTACAGATCCTTGTAAAAGGGGATGAAGAACTGATGGTTAAGGAAATGCAAATTGTAGAAGAGTATTCTGAGGTAATATTAAATTCCATCAAAATAATTCCACACACCCGTAATGTTCTATATACTGAGCTAAATAGAGTTGGATTCTGCCTCTCAGAACTTGAGTATTACAAACACCTAACAATGGCCAGATCAGTTAACCTCAATAAAATGAAGTGGCTGGACTAAATGTTCTCCAAGGTCTCATCTAACTCTGGAATTCATCATCATCATCATTATTAAAGTTAAATTTATTATGTACTTTAGAAGTAAAGCAAGTTGTAAATACATATTAGAAACCTGCAGCTTCTCATATATATCTCTCTTTTTCTGTTCTATTATTTATATGAAAACACCTATTTTATCTGGTGTTTAAGTTCAGAATAAAAATAATTTAAAAAATAAAAAGTAGAATCTATCCTTCAAGGTTCACCTTAAGTACTCCCTTGCACCAGGAATTACAAAAATTTATAAAGCATAAAAAATTATTCCTTACAATATATGTATCAGGTAGGATAGGAGGAGTATTTTTATTCCCATTTCACAGATAGGTATATTAAAATTCAGAGAAGTTAAATGATATGACACATAGCTCATGTGACCCTTTCAGATCCAGGATTTGCACTGAAGGATATTGATTCTAGAGAGGAGAAAAATTTAAGTGTTCAGGGGGAGAGGTATGGGAGGGGTACCGTTTCTTAAAGTCAGTTTTCTACACCAAGCATTTCTCATTCATATCTTGCCTCCCCTACTATTGAAAAACAAAGACAGTTAAAACCAACCTGGGGATTGTGTCGGTCGATACGACCATTTGTCATCTCTTCCACCCTTATTCTGCACAACCTAGCACTACTACAATAATGTAAGTGTCTTACATGTAGGAAGGCTTAGCAAACATTTGTTAAATTAATGTGTAATCACAAAGATGGAACTATTTAAACTTTAAACATTTCTAGAAAGATTTTCCTCAAAAAGTGTGGCTATTACAGGATTAACCTTAAGTTGTTAGGAAACTTTACTTCTCTAGGAAAACTCATTGTCGAACTTTGAGCTAGTAAATGTTAGAATTTTTCATTTTTTCCTGAGAACTGCTGATGATTTCTGCTCTCTAATTTTATGCTTTCAATGAATAGAAATTTTATCTATAGCCTTCTCTCCCTGTATCTCTTCTCTCCCCTTTTGTTTCTTTCTGTCCTATCTCTTTCTTTTCCCTCTTTTTCTGTCTTTCTCTTTCCCTCTTTTCTTTGCCCTTTTCATTCTCTCCATTATCTGTATATATTGTGTATCTGCAATACACTGCTTAAACTAATAAAGTTATAATGCAAATAAATACAACTAATGATATTCTGTGTTCAGTCGATGAGTATTCTTGTTTGCCATTTATTAACTACAACTAATAGTCACTTATTTTTGGTGTTGCATCCTTACTGTAGAAAACACAAGAAGAGCTAAGTAATGTGATACCAGCTTTTGAAGAGGCAATTACAGCTCTGAATGCCCTAGATAAAACTGACATATCTGAATTAAGGTAATTTTCCAAGTTCGTCATTTACTTTCTAAATTCATTATTTAATTCTTTTAAGTATTCATTGATAGCCCTAAAATAATGACCTTTATGATTTAATATTATTCCAGTTTTCCTCCTACCCCTCTATGCCTAACCATTTTCCTAAGTTTCTTTAAATCAAAAAAGCTAACAATTTTATGTAAGTGAGCATTTTAAAATATGATGCTGTATTCAATTTTAAATGAATATATTTAGATTTAAGTGCCCAAATGGATATAAGGTAGTTGCAGACACAGACTGTCTCATTTTGTTTTTAAAAATGAGTACCTAATGAGTGCCCTAGTGCTTAATGGTGCCCAGCACATAGAGGCATTTAATCAATGCTTATTGATTGACTGATTGCACACCAGACTCTCAATCAATAAACATCTATTTAAGCAAGCCAGGTTTCAAACAAAATTCCCAGGTCCAGTCACTTCAAATCAGCAACTAATGCACCAGATGACAGAGTAATTAAACTTTCAAGTAGATGCCCCTATTCTACCGAAAGCCTTCAGATATAATAGAAAGCCTAGTGGAAAATTCTTTAAATGACCCCAAGTTTCATACGGAAGCAAATGCCTTTGTTTTTTAATACAGAATTCTACCAGTTTTGCTCTATGGGAACAAAACAGAACGTAACAGTGTCTGAAGAATTTGAAATGACTGTCACACAGAGGGCAGTGCAGGGACTCACAGTAGATGGGAGAAGGCTGCAACCTATAACCAAAGACGAACTTAAAATAATAGGAGTGAAAAATATCATCAAGGAAATGTGTGATAGGAATGGAAGAGGAGATGATCACATGGTGACACAGAAGGATGATAGGTGGACAGCCACTGGTCCTCTTCAGATTTCTGGAGAAATCTGCAAAGGTCTCCAGTACATTGGGTGGATGCCTACGGCAATCATATGGGAGGCTATGGACAAGAGTCACAGAGGATGGGTGGCCATAGATAGATGGACGGCAGTCCACATGATTGGAGGGATATTTCAAATGGAAGGAATCTGGGATTCATTTGTGTATTAGAGTATTGGAATGTATGTCATGGTGCTCAGGAGAATGAGAGCTCCTTAGACATAAGGGCTGTGTCATTTTCATCTTCTGTAGCCGCAGAGCCCAGCACACTTGTCATAAAGCAGACACTGAATGTTTTTTGACTTGAGTTGTTGGCTCTGTTACAGAGTGTATACACATCCGCCCCATCTGGTCCTGACGATCATGAATGCGGTCTGTGTCCTTCTGGAAAAGACACCTAACTGGGCAACTGCAAAACTACTCCTTGCAGATCCTGGATTCCTCAAAAAATTGACTAACCTGGACAAGGACAGTATACCTGAAAAGGTAAAGAGTGAAGACCTTGGGAAGGAAGGGATTCAAGAGCTGCATAAATAGCATAGTTCAAAGTTCAAAGCGTATATTTGGCTTAGAAGGCAAAGGTACATGTATCATTGACGTAAATGAAGGTAGAGACTCTACCACATGCAGCCTTCTAGGTCCTTGGGTGTAGGCTTTTGCTTGAGTCCAAGTTTTACAGAACAAATCCTTTTATTAAGTGGATTTGTTCTGTGTAGTTTGGATTCAGTTAAAGGGCCATGCTTGAGGACCTAGAGGGCCACATGTGGCTTCGAGGCCACAGGTCCCCCACCCCTGGGTAACCAAGAAAGTTCTGTGTTCAAACTAGCTAATGGTGTAGGATCATAGGATTTAGAGCGGGAAGGGACCTTAGGTCCAATCCTTTCATTTTACAAATGAGGAAACTGAGGTCCACAGAGGTCAAGTGATTTTCCCAAGGTCACATGATTGAGTGGTAATGCTAGGATTTGAATCCAAGTACTCTTGACTCCAAACGAAGGTACCTTGGAGGCCAGTCAGTGCAATCTCCTCATTTTATAGGTAAGGAAACTGAGGCACAGGAAGCTGAAATGACTTGCCCAGGGTCACGCAGCTAGTAAGTACGTGAGGTGGGATTTGAACCCAGGTCATCTTGACTTCAAATTCAGTCCACTGAGCCACACTGTATCCCCTAAATCATGCTACCTCTTCAAAGTTCTGAACAATCAATTCCTTCAACAGATAAATCCAGAAAAAAAAAATTCATTGAGGCTTTAGGACCTACCTAAATGATAAAAGAAAGTAAAGTTAAACTGGTAAACTCTGAGTAGGGGCAAGATAGTCTTGGTCTATGGCCCAACTTTGGAAAAATTTAGAATAAAGGTGAGATTCACAAATGAAAATGTAGCTAGAGAACTTTGACTAAGGTCAGAGATGTGCTCAGTTGAGGGAGAAATGCCCTAGAATGAAGGAATTGAAAGGGATATTGACAGGGCCTCCTTTAAAAGAGAAGGTGGGGGAGAGGCCACTAGGAAACAGGAGACAGGAGACAGAGCTATACCAGGGAGCATGCGAGGAAACCAGAAGAGATTCACCCTTGTGGAAGAGCCCAACTATCTGGGGACAGAGAGCCTGAGATCAGAGGCCACATCTGATGGGATCTGAGATATGGCCCAGTCTGAAAGTAGGGCAAAAAGCCCCTCAGTCTGACTCCAATTTGTGCCTTCTAATCAAACAGTGGTGGCCCTTTGGGGACCTCACAGAATGTCTTAACACCTGGGATGGTCAGCGACTGAGATTCCCAGCAGTATCAGTACCAATAGTGAGTTGGGAAACAGGCTTACCTAAGATAAGCCCACAAATAGGGGGAGTCTGAAGCAGGGCAAGGTCAGGGAAAGGAGTCAGCCCCTCAGCCCTTGCTGGAAGTCCTTGCACTCCTAGGTTCAACCGCATCTCCAATCCTCGGGACTTTGGCTTTATGTATTGTCTTTTTCAAGGAGAACAAGGTTGATAGTGTGGTGGGCTGCCCTTTGAGGCAAGATGTAGGCATTCCAGGCCCCTGAGTCATGTAGAGGAGATGCCTTGTGCTCCTGTAGGGGAAATAAAATGCTCTGCCAAATTCTCTCTCCACTCTCTCAAAGCACAATCTGTTCAGGGAAAAGAGTAGATGAGGCAGACTTCAGGCAGAAGAGGGTGGAGAAGAGAATCAAACCCCAAATTCCTGCTGGAGGATCAAACCTTCTTGGAGATTCCTTTGTATCCCCATCCCAGAGACCACTTCTTTCCCTGGAAGCTTTGCCTACCTTACTTTCCTCTCACAAACATACATAAACTCTTCAAATCCAGTGACACTAGCCTCTCTCCTCACACACAAAGCTCCATCTCCTGACTCCAGGCATTTTCACTGACTGTCCCCCATGCCTAGAACTCTCTCCCTCCTCATTTCTACTTCTTAGTTCCCTAACCTCCTTCAAGTCTCAACCAAAGTCCCACCTTCTGCAAGAAATCTTTCCTAGACTCCTTAATTTTAGTGCCATCCCTCAAAGACCACCCCCAAATGTTTTCCGTCTGTATCTGTTTGTACATAGTGTTTACATATTGTCTCCTCCATAACATTGTGAGCTCCTTGAAAGCAGGGACTGCCTTTATTTGTATCCTCAGTGTTTAGTCCAGTGTCCAGTACATAATAGGTGCTTAGTTGACTATCAATCAGGCTAGAGAATCATTATTGTACCCAAATAGTAAGTTTGAATTTGGTTTGGTTTTTTTAAGGTTACATGCTCTAGTTGTGTATTCATATGTATGTTTTTAAAAGTATCTTCTCTTGGGGCAGCTAGGTGGTGCAGTGGATAGAGTACCAGCCCTGGAGTCAGGAGGACCTGAGTTCAAATCTGGCCTCAGACACATAATACGCACTAGCTGTGTGACCCTGGGCAAGTCACTTAACCCCATTGCCTAGCCAAAAAAAAAAAAATCTCTTTTTTGGAATTATAGCAAAGCAACTCTAACAAGTAACAGTTAGAACATGATGTAAGTCAAAGCTCTTATTCTTTGTATAGTTTCAGCATAGCACCAGCATCTTTTTGGATTTAGGTATTTGCCAAGAATCTACTCTAAGAGAAAGGATTAAAAGATTCCAATCAATCTCTTTTTTCTATAACAAGATCAATTATTATATGCATATGCAGGAATGATATGTCAAATCCAGAACACTTTTCTCATATAACTTGTCTTTATTCCCTCTAGGCATTTGTAAGACTGAAAAGATATTTAAATTTACCTGATTTCAACCCAACAAAGATTTCTCAAGTGTCTGTTGCCTGTTGCTCCATGTGCCAGTGGGTAATAGCTTTAAATAACTACCATGAAGTACGGAAGGTATGTCTTTTCATTCGTAAAGGACAAGACGTATTGCCATTATTTCTCCAATATGAATGTATTATAGGGATACTTAGGGTTATGATGGACCTAACACCACCGCTTTGTTATTTGAGGTTCAATTTTGGTAGGTTACAAGGATATGCAACAAGGATATAGAAGCCCTTAGCCTCTCTACGTGTGACCCATCTCTTCTCCACATGGAAACTTGTCTGGTCTGCAGGGCAGGATATGGTGTTTCACGTGGTCTTAAGACATCTACTAAAGTGTTTGGGCCCTGACTCCACACAAGTGGGACTTTTTATGCCCCTAGGTCACCAGGAATCGATTAAGTCCCAAGGACAGCTTTGTTAACTTTTAGGAAACACTAACCTCTATACAATAGGATAAAAGATGAGAACCATAGTCCTATCACACTAGGATACTGCAAGAGATCCATGACCTCAACAATATGACTCTTCCATCTAAGGTCCTTCCTTTTCCAGGTACTTCCTTTACTCCTCCAGAGAGGACCTACCCAGTATATTGAGGACCTTCCTCTGTATATCTCATGAATAGCAAAGAAATATTCAGGCTATCAGTATTTTATTTCTTACTAAATAGTTCTATAATATATATGCATATATGTATATGTAATATATACACACATATATGCATATATGTAATAAATACATATAAATATATAACCATATATTTCAGAGAAAATTTAAATATATTATTGTACTTATGATAAAATCAACAGTGAAAAATTATAATCCTTTCATTGTACTTTATATACACATTAAAATTTCTGAGTATATAGTTCCATATATGTTTATGTAGACCATTAAAAACATGCTCCGTGCCTTATGCTGAAACTCTTTAATCAATCTATCTATACTATATTATTATTATATATTATATTATTTTATATTATAATATATTATATTTATAACATATTATATATATAATTATAACTCTTATAATTTTTTAAATGTTTTATTGATGCCTTTTTTTAACATCCCTGTCATTTCCCAATCTCTTCTCCCGCTTCCTATAGAATCTTCTCTTGTAACAAAAAAGGGGTATACTTAAAACAAAACAATGTATTGACACTGACAATGTATGCCACATGCCATATCTATAGTCTACCACCATTCTGACAAGAAGAGGGAGCTATGGTGCACTCTTAGTCCTCTGGATACAGAGTCACAGAATTTTGAGAGTTGGGAGGAACCTCAGACACCATTTTATCAAGCCCATGTCCAAAAGGAATATCGACTACAATATATCCAGCAAGTGTGGTCATCTAGTCTCTGCTTTAGGACCTCCAACGAGAGGTGAACACACTGTTTATTGAGTCATCCCCTTCACTTCTATACAACTCTAATTGTTATAGTCTTCCTGACATCAAACCCAAATTGGCCGCTTTGCAATTTCCACCCATTTTTCCTGGTTCTGCCCTCTATGGCCAAACAGAACAAAAGTAATTCCTTTTCCATGGGAGTCCTTCAGATCTTTGAACCTGTACAAATATCAGGTCTAGCCAAGTCTTCTCTTCTCCATGCTAGACATCTTCATTTTCTTCAACCAATCCTTACATGGCATGAACTTAAACCTCTTCACTTAGATGCCTTTGTCTATATGCTCTCCAGGTTATCACTGTCCTTCTTAAACTGTTGTGCCCAGCAATATCTAGGTAAACTATAGCTACTGTACTCTTCTTATCTACGATTCTAGTAATCCTCTAGAAAATTATGAAGTTAGTGTGGTATAACATATTCTTGATGAAGTCATGCTGGCTCTTTATATTCAGTGCTCCTTTTTCTAGATATTCACCAACCATATCTTTGAGATATAGAGTTCTTCCAGGAATTGAAATCAAGCCACCTTATAGTATGCAGACCCTCTTGTCTTCCCTTTAAAACAAAAAGGTTTTTACTGATGTCTTTTTTTTTCTAGTATTCATTTTTACAATATTTTGAGTTCCAAAGTTTTCCCCCTCCCTCCTTACCTTTCCCTCTTCTGAAAATGGTAGGGAGGTTGACATAGTTTTACATATGATCAAAATGAAATAAAACCATGAGAAAGAATGAAATAAACGGGGAAAAAATATGCTTTGATCTGTATTCTGAGTTCATCAGTCCTTTACCGGGATATGGATAGCATTTTCCTTCAGGAATCCTTTGAACTAGTCTTGGATTATTGTGTTGCTGAGAAGAGCTGAGTCATTCAGAGTTGATCATCACACTATGTTACTGATACAGTGTTTTCCTCATTTCACTTTGCATCAGTCTGTATGAGTCTTTCCAGGTTTTTCTGAAATCTGCCTGTTCATCATTTCTTATTGCATAATAGTATTCCATTACATTCATATAGCACAGCTTGTTCAGCCATTCCCCAATTGATGGGTATACCCTCAATTTCCAATATTTTGCCACCACAAAAAGGGCTGCTATAAATATTTTTGCACATGTAGGTCCTTTTCCCTTTTTTATGATCTCTTTGGGATACAGACCTAGTAGTGGTATTACTGGATCAAACGGTATGCACAGTTTGGTTGCCCTTTGGGAACTGTTCTAAATTGCTCTGCAGAATGGTTGTATAAGTTCACACCTCCGCCCAGCATGCATCAGTGTCCCAATTTTCCCACATCCTCTCCAACATTTATCATTTTCCTTTTTTGTCACATTAGCCAATCTGATTGGTATGAGTTGGTATTTCAGAGTTGTTTTAGTTCTCATTTCTCTAATCAAAAGTGATTGAGAGCACTTCTTCATATGTCTCTAGACATATGATTTCTTCATTTGAAAACTGCCTGTTCATATCCTTTGACCATTTATCAGTAGGAGAATGGCTCATATCTCATAAATTTGACTCAGTTCTTTACATATTTGAGAAATGAGGTTTTTGTCGGAGACACTTGATGTAAAGGTTGTTTCCCAGCTTTTTGCTTTCCTTCTAATCTTGGTTGAAGTGGCATTGTTTATGCAAAAGCTTTTTAATTTAATTTGATCAAAATTATCTATTCTACATTTCGTAATGCTGTCTCTTGTTTGGTCATGAATTCTTCCCCTTCCCATAGATCTGACAGGTAGACTATTCCTTGCTCTTCTAATTTGGTTGCTTCATTGTCTATGGTACCTTTTAGCAAGATGTAGTTTCCTTCCTTCCTTGTCTCTTTTAATTAGATCTATTTTTGCTTTTACTTTGTCTTAAGATCAGAATTGCTACCCCTGCTTTTTTTTAGCTCCTTCAACTGAAGCATAATAGATTCTGCACCAGCCCCCTACCTTTACTCTGTGTGTGTCTCTCTGCTAAAAGTGTATTTCTTGTAATCAACATATTGTAGGATTCTGGTTTTTTATCTACTCTGATATCTGCTTCTGTTTTGTGGGAGAATTCATCCCATTCACATTCACAGTTATAATTACTACCTGTGTATTTCCCTCCATCCTATTCTTCCTCCTGCATATTCTCTCTCTCCTTTCACCCTTTTCCACCTCACCAGTGTTTGTTTCTGTCTACCACTTCCCCTGATCTGCCCTCCCCTATGTCAGTCCCCACCCCACCTCCACTCACACACACCATCTTTAATCTCCTCCTTTCCTGTTTCCCTGTTGGGTATGATAGATTGCTATATTCAACTGATTGTGTATATTATTCCCTCTTTGAGTCAATACTGATGAGAATGAGGTTATAGAAATGCCCATTGCTCACTCTTCTATCTTCTCCTTCACTGTAAAAGGTCATTCTCACCTCTTCATGTAAGATAATTTGCCCCATTCTACCCCTCCCTTCTTCTGCACCCTTTTTTTAAAAAATCTGTGTATTTGCCTTCTCCAATCTTGTAATACCTCTTCTGTTTTCCATGATCATTGGCAGAGAAAAATAGAAAGAAAATAAGATTGAGCAGCTGCCTTTTCTCTGTTGTCAGTTTTTATTGTCACATCCCCAAACCAAGATGTCCATAGTTGTTGGGTATATTGTAGTGGGAATCCCTTTTGGGTATAGTCTTGATGAGATGGTCTCTGAGGTCTCTCCCAACTCTCAAATCTATCTAACCTTAGTGTGGTCTTCCTTTTTCTTCCAATATAGCTTCCCCCCCATTTGTTATTTATTAATTTTTATCATTCTTTTCTTTTTAAATTTCGAGTTCCAAATTTTCTTCCTCCCACTCCTCTCCCACCCACTCAGAAGGCAAACAGTATGATATCAGTTATACATATGAAATCATGCAAAAACATTTCCATATTAGCCAAATCAGTCAGAAAGAAGGAGGGAGAGGGAAAGAGGAGAGACAGAGACAGAGAGACAGAGACAGAGAAAGAGAGAGAGAGAGAATTATACCTCAATTTGCACTCAGAGTTCTTCAGAGAGAGACAGAGATAGAGAGAGAGAGAGAGAGAGAGAGAGTCAGAGTCAGAGAAAGAGAAAGAGAGAATTATACCTCAGTTTGCACTCAGAGCTCATCAGTTCTCTCTCTGTAGTTGGATAGTATTTTTTCCTCATAAGTCCTTTGGAATTGTCTTGAATCATTGTATTGTTTAACAGAGTAGCCAAGTCTTTCACAGCTGATCATCATTACTACATTGCTGTTACTCTACACAATGACCTATCTCCTGGTTCTTCTCACTTCACTTTGTATCAGTTCATATAGGTTTTGCCATGTTTTTCTGAAACCAGTCCACTGATCATTTCTTACATCGCCGTAGTACTCTATCATGATCATATGCCACAGCTGATGAGCATTCCCTCATTTCCAATTCTTTGCCACCACAAAAAGAGGTGCTATAAATATTTTTGTACATATAGGTCCTTTTCTTTTCTTTGATCTCTTTGGGGTACAGACCTAGTAGTATTATTGCTGGATAAGCACAGTTTTATAGCCTTTTGTTCAAGCATAGTTCAAGATTGTTCTCTAGAATTGTTGGACCAGTTCACTATTTCACCAACAGTTCATTAACGTACCTATTTTCCCTCATCCCCTCCAGCATCTGTCATTTCTGAAAGATTTGAGGTGGTACTTTAGAGTTTTTTAATTTGCCTTTCTCTAATCAATAGTGATTTAGAGCATTTTTTCATAGGACTATAGATAGCTTTGATTTCTTCTTCTTAAAAATGCCTGTTCATATCCTTTGACCATTTATCAACTGGGGAATGGCTATTATTCTTATAAATTTGACTCAGTTCCCTATATATTTGAGAAATGAGCCCTGTATCAAAGAAACTTGCTATAAAACTTTTTTGATATTACTTCATTGCCTATGGTACGTTCTAGCAATATGTAGCTTCCCAGATTATCTCTTTTAATTAGGTCAACTTTTGCTTTTATGGGCAGTTAGGTGGCACAGTAGATAGAGTGCTGGGCCTGGAGTCAGGAAGACTCATTTTTTTGAGCTCAAATCTGGCCTCAGACACTTACTAGTTGTGTGACCCTGGGCAAGTCACTTAACCCCATTTGCCTCAGTTTCCTCATCTATAAAATGAGCTGAAGAAGGAAATGGCAAACCCCTCCAGTATCTTTGCCAAGAAAACCCCAAATGGGGTCATAAAGAGTTGAACATGACTGAAATGACTGAACAATAACAAAAAGTTTTGCTTTTGCTTTATTTGAAATCATGATTGCTACCCCTACCTTTTTTTATTTCAGCTTAAGTATGACAAATTTTGCTCCAGCCCTTTATTTTAAGTCTGTGTGTGTCACACTTTTTGTTTCAAATGTGTCTCTTGTAAACAACATATTGTTGGATTCTAGTTTCTAACCCATTCTGCTGTTCACTTCTGTTTTATAGTTTAGCTCACATTTCACATTCACAGTTATGATTGTTGTGTGTTTCCTTCTATCCTATTTTTTATTGTTTCTCCTTCTCTATCTCTTTTTATTCCATCCCTCCTCAAAATCCTATTTTGCTTTTGACTACTACCTCCCTTAATCTGCCCTCCCTTTTATCATGACCCCCCCAATATTTCTTATCCCTGCCCCTGCTATTTCCCTATTGGATAAGACAGATCTCTATACCTAACTGTGGGTGTACATATACTCTTCACTTTTTGAACCAATTCCTATGATACTGAGGATCAAACATTGCCCACTATTACCCCTATTTCTCTCCCTCCCACTATAAAAACTCTTCATAATATGCCACTTTAATGTGAAAAAAATTTCCCCACTCTACCTCTCCTTTCCTCCTTTTCCCAGTGCATCCCTCTTTCTCACCCCTACATTTTTGGGAGATCATCCTAACATAATCAACTCACATCCATGCCCTCTGTCTGTGTATACTGCTTCTAACTGCCCTAATTGTGATAGAATTCTTAGGAGTTATATGTATCATCTTCCCATTTGGAATGTAAACAGTTTAATTTTTTTGAGTCCCTTATGATTACTCTTTCATGTTTCTCTTCATGTTGTGTTCATGTTTATGTTCATGTTCATGTTTACTTTCATTTTATGCTTCTCTTGGGTCTTCTGTTCGAATGTCAGATTTTCTATTCATCTCTGGTCTTTTTTATCAGAAATGCTTGGAAGTACTGTATTTCATTAAATACCCATTTTTCCCCTGAGGCATTATAGTCAGCTTTTCTGCATAGGTTATTCTTAGTTATAATCTGGGCTTCTTTGTCCTCCTGAATATCATATTCCAAGCCCTCCACTCTTTTAATGTAAAAGCTGCTAAATCTTGTGTGATCTTGATTATGTCTCCACAATATTTGAATGTTTCTTTCTGGCTGCTTGCAATATTTTCTCCTGGGAGCTCTGGAATTTGGCTATAATATTCTGGGAGTTTCCATTCTGAGATCTCTTTCATAAGGTAATTGGTGAATTATTTCTACTTTAGCCTTTGGAACTAAGATATTAAGGCAATTTTCCTTCAAAGTTCAATATATATCAAAATATTCATCACTCTTTGTGATAGTAACTGGAAACAAAGTGGCTGCCCATCTACTAGGGAATGGCTGAAAAAGAATTATGACACACAAACATAATCAAATATTTTTGTCAAGCAAGAAATGACAATTGTCAGGAATTCACAGAACCGAGGGAAGATTTATGTGAACTGATGTAGCATGAAATAAGCAAAACCAAGAGAACAATTTACACAGCGATTACAACTATGTAAATTAAAAGATCGCTAAAAAGAAGTTGATCTCTGAGTAATGAAAAAACAAATGAAGATCCTGGAGCAAGGATAATAAAACATATCTTCTTCTCATGGCAATGAGATCAGACTGCTAGGACAAAATATTACATACATTGTCAGATAAGATCTCTTTATTAGATATTGTTGCCTAATCAGTTTTTGGTTTGGGTTCTTTTTGTCATAAGGAAAGTTTCAGTCTGGGTGGGAAAATGACTATGATACAAAAACAAAAAAGGTAGCAATAAAACATTTTAAAAGTTAAATATAGGGAAAGCCATTATTTCTTCTCCCTAAAGGTCCATGTAAAATAATTCCCTTTTTAGGAGCAAATTTCTAGACTGCTTTCTTCTTCAAATAAGAAAAATGTGGGCAAAAAGTTGAGTGTGGTAATATTTCCTTTTGTTGAAGATTACACAGCCAGTTAGCCTTTAGCATAACTTCATATTATTTCTGCCAACATTAAAATGTAAAAATACCATAGATGATCACCACTGGATTAATATAAACTTCAGCCAAGAAAAGCTAGACCCTCTGTGAATTTCTACCAAGACTAGACGATGCAAAGCTAGTCGAAGGATGCAACTGAGTCTAGAGGAACCTTTGATTTCAGACTGTCCAAATGTAAGCTGCACGATGGCAAACCTAATGATACTGTTTGAAAGGAGAATGAATTTTCTGCGTTGTTACAAAGAGGTTAGAAAAGAATCAAACTCTCACTGAATCAAATACACTGGAACCTCACCATTAACACTACTTGTTAATTCCCAAGGGAGTAGAATTTGCCCAGACTGATCAATATTGAGCTCCCTTGTAAAAGGGCTTGTTTGTTTTTTTTCCTTCATAGTATGGTCATTTCATTTACAAGGTAGTTCCCCCTCAATAACCCTCTGTAAGACATATTGGGGGCAGTTAGGTGGCACAATGGATAGAGTGCGGGACCTGAAGTCTGGAAGACTCATCTTACTGAGTTCAAATCTGGTCTCAGACTCTTACTAGCTGTGTGACCCTAGCCAGTCACTTAACCCTGTTTGTTTCAGTTTTCTTATCTGTAAAATGAGCTGAAGAAGGAAATGGCAAACCACTCCAAGGTCTTTGCCAAGAAAACTCCAAATGGAGTCACTATGAGTTGGACACAATGGAAACAACTGAACAACAACAAGGACATATTGGGCCATATGGTAGAGCATAAGTAATGTATTTGTACATCAGTAATTAACTGAATTTATGTGGACATGGTACAAGCAGAAAATGTATCAATCAATTTTGCTGTTGTTATTCTGAGCAGCTTCATTCTAAGAGCTGGCAGCTGTGACATATATTTTAAATATGAATGGAATTTTTGGCATGAATATGATACTTAATAATTATTTCTTACTCATATTGAAATAGCGTGACTTTTTTTTTAAAATCTAGATGTTGCAACCAAAACAACGCCAAGTGGCTGAGGCTGAAAAAATACTCCAACTTGGTCGGGAAAAGCTGGCAGAAAAACAAAAGGGTTTAGAATTGGTAAGAAATGTATTTGTTTGTTTTGTTATTCTGTTCTTAACTTTCAACAACTTTACCATCCAGGTAAAAATATCAGGAAGAAAAATTAAATATTTTTTAGTTCACCATTTCATCATACATCCCTAACAAGAATCACAGTGACATCAAATCATATCATATTAAATCATATCATACAAACATAATTTGAAGAGGTTTTAGAGATCATTTAGTATTTACAATCTGGTATAGGAGAGAAGGTATATATGAAAATATTTTAAATATTAGTTTATCATGGGCTCAACATCACAAGACTTTTTCTCTTGTTATATATTAATGAATTATTTTCAGACATTTATTCTCATTAACATGAATACTGAGAAGCAACATAGGAAAGCACAGTAGTTTCCAAATTAGGAACTCTGCTCAGTCAACCAGTCTACTGGTAGAAAGATGGATCCTCCATAACTGTAGTCACAAGGCTTGTCTCCAGCAGAACCCCACCACACTGTTCATTTATTAACCTCTAACACAACAAGAAAAATTAATCACTACAATATGAGTTCTACTTTGGTCTTAGAATCCTTCTTTCCATAAGGACTGCCATTATTTAAAATGGAATGAATTATGAGGCAGCCTTATGAAATAAAAGGAGTTTTAGATTTTAAATCAGTGGATCAGTGGGCAAGGTTTTACATCTCAGCTTTGCCTGTTTACCACCATGTGTGAATTTGGACAAATGACTTAAACTCTCTGAGCTTCAGTTTCCTCATTGATAAAATCATGGAGTTAGACTGAATTACCTCATAGGTCTCTTCCATCCCTAAGTTCATGACCCTAGGAGAGGGGTAAAAGTTGAAATTGTTAAGCAAAGTGAGAACCAAATGTTTTCATCTTTCATTTATATTGATTTTCAGATCGAAGAACATCTGCAATCTTTACAACTTGCCTACAATGGCAGTGTTGCTGAAAAAGAATTCTTAGCAGATCGGAGACAGCTGACAACTAAACGCTTACATAGTGCCTCCATTTTACTAACAGCTCTGGAAGATGAGGGGGTATTACCATTTTTTTCAGAGTTAGCATGATCATAAAGTTAATTATTTTATTATGGTTTGTTTAATATATATCAAATCCTTTCTCTGAAGAACTCAAGGGGTTGCCTTCCTCTTCTAGGGGAAAATTGACCTCATCTGACTCACCATATCCAATTTCTTATCATATTCACTAACCAATCCCAGTAAGACTAAACTTAGAAAATTTGTGGTCTGTGTAACTATTCCTGATCAAACTGTATATTAAAAAAGAAATGCTATTCAGTGCAAAATCTAGGCTCTGAGTAGCATTTCAGTCCATTCTGTCCAAATGCAAATCCAAAATAAATTGATAGAAAAAGGGGCATCCACAAAATCACAGAATGTCAGAGTTAGAGGGGGTCTCAGAAGGCATCAAATCTCATCTGTATCTGAGCAGGCATGCCCTCTACCATATCCCTGATAACTAACTGATTGCCTAGTTTTTGCATAAATGTTACATATTATATAATATATATATACACATACATATATGTGTTATATGTGTATCTGTAGATGGATGGATGGATGTACATTTAAGGGACAGCTAGTGGTACAATGGATAGAATGCCAGGTCTGAAGTCAGGAAGACATCTTCCTAAGTTCAAATCTGGCCTCAGACATTTACTCGCTGTGACCCTAGGTAAGTCACTTAACCCTGTTTGCCTCAGTTTCCTCATCTGTAAAATGAGCTGGAGAAGGAAATGGCAAACCACTCAAGTATCTTTCCCAAGAAAACCTCAAATAAGGGCATAAAGAGTCAGACACACTGAAAATGACTGAACAACAACAAATTTACATTTATTTATACACATATTTATGTATGTGTGTGGGAGTGTGGGGGTGTGATATATATGTATATATCTAGGTAATGCAGTGGATTGAGTTTCAGGCCTGAAGAGCTCAAATTCAGCCTCACATACTCACTAGTTGTGTGACTCTGGGCAAGTAGCCTCTGTTTGCCTCAGTTTCCCCATCTGTAAAATGAGGATAAAAATCTATCTCCCACAATTGTCATGAGGATCAAATAAGATAATATCTGTAAAGTGCTTTGCACCATACCTGATACAGAGTAAGTGCTATATAAATGTTAACTATTATTATTATTATTATTATTATTATTATTATTTTATATATAGGACTTTATTTATACCAAATTAAATTTCATTAGATTAAGCTAATCAGTAAATGCAGTTGAGTCTTTTTTTGAATCCTAATTCTGTTGTCCAACATGCTAGCTATCTCTCCTGGCTTCATGTCATTTGCCAATTTGATAAATGTGCCATTTGATCACTTTCATCAAAGTCATTGATAAAAAATGTTAAATAACTCAGGGCCAAGGATAGATCCCTGAGAACTATCTCCTTCTTTCTCCTCCTTTTCCTGTCTTTCTCTCTCCCTTTTTCTCTCTCACTTCCTCTCACCCTCTTGCTACCCCCAACCCAGACATCCTTTAAAACTGGCATAGACCCATTAATAACATCTGTTTGGCTCTGGGCATTGAACCAATTCTAAATCCACTTAAGTGGACTTAGTCCACACATATACATTTTGTCCACAATAGTAGCATGAGATACTTTGACAAATGCTTTACTGAAATCTGAGTAAACTGTATTAAAAGCATTTTCCCGACGTACCAATCTGATGACCCTATCAAAAAAAGGTAGTTCTGTACTTCATCCTGTGCTTAGTCTGCCATGACCTGTGATCAGTGAATCCATAGTGGCTCTTAGTAATCATTGCTTTGTTTTCTAAATATTCATAAACTATCCTTTAAATAATATATCCAATAATTTTGCAAGGAATTGAAGTCAGGCTTAAAATTCTATACTTTGTAGACTATATTCTCTTCCCCTTTCTGAAAAGTAGGATGTTTGTTTGTCCTTATGTAGACCTGAATTATCATTTCTGTCCTCCATATCCTTCAAAGATCATCTCTGGGCTCCTGGTACCTCTCTTCTTCAGCTTAGTTGGCAGAGTAGGTGTATACAGAGGCTTAGGCCTTTCATAAGCATCCCACAATGAGGATCTGGATCTAGTCTAGTTGCCTTTTTAACTGAAAGTAAAAGATACCAGGTTTTTGTTTGGGAAAAAAAAAAAGATCATTGACAGTTGACCCCTGTATATAGTTCACCTGGGCCTGATGACGTGAACTCATTAAGGGGCACTAGGTGTTCACTGATTTTCTCCTTATTTATATTGGATTTTAAGTCACTATTAAGCTTTTTTGTTCTAACCATCCCAGTACAAAGATCGTTTTTCTTGGCAAAGAAACAGAGGCAAAATAAAAGTTGACTACTTCTGTCTTCTCTCCATTTTCCTTTGTCATTTTCCCATCCACCCCAAACAGTCTTGTTCCTTCTCTCATCCTCCTCTTGTCCACAACATGGCTGAAAATGTCAACATCTGTTCATTCTGAGTTTTAATGGTATCATTCTGACACTATTATGAGCAGGATCATCCCTCTCTTTTGTATCAATGCCCTTTTCCTGCCCTTCCTTTCATTATGTGTGTATATGGTTTTTTTTTTCTAATTTGGAACAGTTAATGCGTTTCCTTTGTATACACCTCAATCTTTTTAGACATATTTGTCATTACTTTGAAACTGTATCTGCTTTCCATAAAATCTATGGTCTACATCAGACTGTCTAGCTTTTCTCTCCATTTCTAATATGAATTTTAAGATGAAGTTTTATTTTCCTACAAGGTTCCCATTATTTCTACATTGGGTATAGAATAGCATGTTTCCTCATCATGAAATAATAAATAATAATAATAATAGTGTAACAACTCAGGAAGTTGGAAATCACTGCTCTAGAGAGCTAGGTATGCCTTGGTAGTAAACTAAATAAAATGAGTAAACTAAGACACACATAAGTAAAATGACTAGTTAGCAATGGAGCCATGATAAGAACTTTACCTTTCACTTTTTCAGCATGGTAGCATAATGGAACTGATAGAATTTGAAAATAACTTTCTCATTTTTAAAAATGCACAATAGTAGCTTTTCAATTGTAAATTGCTATTCATTTTTCTTTTTTACTTTGGGCATTAAGAGTCGATGGGAAGAAACAGTAAACTTACTAGACCAACGGTTAGAAGGAATTGTGGGTGATATACTTATTTCAGCAGCATGCATCGTCTACTTTGGAGTGTTCCCAACTGAGTACCGCAAATTAATTGTAAATGAATGGGAAAAGATCTGTACTGAAAATAATATTTCTAAATCTGCCAACTTTTCCTTAATTGACGTCATGGGGAACCAGCATGAGGTATTTATATTTTACAGTTGAATAAGCAATACGCATTTTTGGCATATTTCCTAGAATGATGATATGACTGGGTTCTGGGTTCTCCAGAAGTCAAACTGGGGACATTTGGTTGAAATTTGAACTTTAATGTCACAATCACAACTTCTTTCCAGACTTTGTCTCTTATTTGTACCATTTTCTTTCTACTATCCACCCTTCCTCCTATCCTAGTGATCTGAGAGCCATTTGTTTTCTACTTTCTATGAACTCTTTCAGTTTTGTCTGAGCATTGACTAAAATTTTCAGATTTCGTTCAGTTGCAGGGACTATTTTTAGGCATCGAATTAAATACATGTCTCTTACACTCAGCAGTTCAAGCAGTACATCTAAATTTATTGAGTATCTGTTATGTATCTAGAAATGTGAGATTATTTTCTTATGTGATTCATTTTCTTGTTTTGGAATTCCAAATTTATTTGACTGGCTAATCACCCAGTCAAAATGGATATCCAAACCACAAACTCAATTCCCTATCAGGTACTGATTACTGTTAATTTTCTGGAGTTAAAGATCAACTCTGATTTCATAGAAATCATAGAAATTTGGTGCCTGATCTGCCTGCCAACCCAGAACCCTTACTGCTCTGTTATGCCTTGTTAATTTTCCACCATCTAAATCTGTCCTGACTGTGATATGGAGAAGACAATAACCTAAAGCTAGCTTCAGGTACACACATTTGGTAAGATTTCATCAATTAATGGTCTTTACCATATGCCCTTTATAATACTGACTGATACAAAATATAATTCATATACTCCCTCTACTAGAGGGCATGTGTCTCAAGTGCCTCATTATGGCAATATTGTGACCCTGGCTTCTCAAAGGCTATACCAGCGGAGTACAGACTTTGCCACTACCACCAGGCTAGCAAGGCTTCAAGTATTGATGCCCGATCCATCAATCAATCAAGGATGAGCACGATGACAGATTCTCAGTCTGTTATGTAGGGAGCAGCCAAATCCAGCTAGGTAGGGACTAACTAAATCCAGAGAGCCTCCTCACCAGAGGAGTGACTACTGGCTGATGAATTTTATTTGGCCACTCATTAAACTCTTGGTTCAAGCATGGAGGGGATTGTGGTCTGCATTGATGAAGCAACTGTGCATAACAATGAAATCACAGGTCCTTGTAATACTAAGAAAGTACATTACAAAAAGGAATCTATTTCCAGATATATTGACCTCAAAGGTCTTTCAAATAGAAAACTTCCCTGGTACACTTTAAAATAATTTGATAAACAAAAATTTGGTTTGCATACAACTTTTTAAAAAACACTTATTTTTGAATCAAATCAAACCTCTATATGAAGAATTCTAAAAATTTTGAAAAAAGCTTATAATGTATTGAAAATACTAATATTTTCATTCTAGATGCGCCAGTGGCATAATCAAGGTTTGCCCCTTGGTCAGTATTCAACAGAAAATGCCATTTTGGTTAAGAATGGACTAATGTGGCCTCTGCTAATTGATCCGCATAAACAAGCCTACAATTGGCTACGTCAGATGGAAGGTGGCCGACTGCAGGAGCTTAATATTGGTGAAACTAATTATGTTACAGTAATTGAAAATGCCATGAAAACTGGAGGATGTGTTCTTTTAAAGGTATTTGTACAACAATGCCTTACCCAGTACTGTTCACAGAGATCTCATAGGTACTGACATGTACTGGGTGCTATTAAATAAGAAAGGAGGTGTAACTTTGACAGAGAGGAAAATACACATTAGAAAACAACGGGGAGTTTAACCGAGTTTGTTGCATTTGAAGTGCTAATTTCCTCAGAATGATTTATAAAGCTAGGCTGTTTGGTCTCAGTCCATTCCAATTGCTTTTCCTGAGCCAAACTTGTCAAAACACATGACAAGCTAGGAAAATTAAAAAACAAATTTAAAAAAACATAATGTTCTTTTGACATATTTATTCCTTGTGACAGCAATTTTACAAGTTATTTCTGCTGGGGTTTTTCCAGAATCTTCCTGAAACATTAGATCCAAGTTTAAAATCGATCTTAAAAAGGGACATCTATCAGAAAAGAGGACAACCTTTTGTCAAGATTGACGAAAACGGGGTTGAATACAACAACAACTTTAGGTACTATACCTCATATTTTGCTTAAACAAATTATTGCTCAAATGTTAGAGAAAAGTTCAGTGATTAAACTCATGCCCATATGTTTCAGCTTGATACAGAAGCATCCACTTCTGGGGAAATAAGAGTTTTCCTTTTGAATAATTTTTATCTTCATTGCCAACAACCATCAGTCAGTTCTGAGACCAACATTCTATACCTTTACAACAAGATACCTGTAAATAGAACAATCTATCTTTAAAGCAATTATTTTAAAAATAAGTTGTTCTAAATATATAAAAAGTCTTCATATTCATGTTATTCCAATCTCCTAACATCTAGCCATAGTAACAGTTCTTTAAGGTTTGTAAAGTGCATTCCTCAAAATAATCCTTGACTGAGGAAGGGAGGGAGTATCAGTATTGTGATCCCCATTTCACAGATGAGGAAACTGACAGGATAAATGGTTTGCTGATAATCAGCCAAATAAGTATCTGAGGTAGAATTCAAACTCAAGTCTCAACTCCAATTCTTTCATTAGTTCCATCATATCACACAGCTTCTCATCCATAATCTCATCGGTGACTGTATTTTTCAATACAATTTACAAGAAAGAAATTGTGTTATTCAGTAGGGTATTTAATTTAGTAATGATCTATCAAAATGTTTTTGACATGTCTATTATTATGTCAAGACTAATGACACTGTCTGTACAAATAATGAAACAATTTCAGACTAATTTTACTTTGGGACAGCCAGGTGGCATGATGGATAGAGCACCAGGGCTGGAGTCAGGAAGACTCATCTTCATGAGTTAAAATCTGGCCTCAGACACTTACTAGATATGTGACCCTGGGCAAGTCACTTAACCCTGTTTGCCTCAGTTTCCTCATCTGTAAAATGACCTGGAGAAGGAAATGGCAAAACACTCCAGTACCTTTGCCAAGAAAACCTCCAAAGGGGTCACAAATATTCCAACACAACTGAAAAACAACTGAACCAGTAACAAGCTTTTTTCTGTGTCTCAGAGCAGATGAAAATATTGTGAAACTCCCACACTGCATTGTGACTATTTCATTTCATAATAAAGTTGTAGATATCTTTAACATCAGTATTCAAAGTCAGGCCAAAAGTGAGGTGATTCCCCACAGCCTACTGTTGTTGCCACCTCTGGGTCAAGTTATAAATTACTTTGGATTCATCCAAAGAAAGAACTATGGAGTTTGAATGCAGATCGAAGCATACTATTTGCTATTTTTTTTCTTCTGTTGTGCTTTGTTTCCTCTTTCTGGTGGTTCCTCCTATTGGTTCTAATTCTTATTTGCAACATCACTAATGTGAAAATATGTTTAATAGGAATGTATATGTATAACCTATATCAGATTGCACGCCATCTTAGGAAGGGAGGTGGGAAGGAAGAGGGAGAAAAATTTAAAACTCAAAAGCTTATGGAAGTGATTGTTGACAAATCAAAATAAATTAATTAAAAATAAATAAATAAATTACTTTGGATTACTGAAATAAAGGGCAGGGAAGCTATTCCAACAAGTTGGACATACTCTCAGGGGATTGAGAGTCACAAAAGTTCATGTTGTTCAAGGTGTGAAAGGTGCTAATTATAGAGAAATACCATCCAGCCACACATGCTCAGGTTGTGAGCAGCCTAAAAATTCTATTGAGTAAATTTTTAAAGTATACTAAAGCCATATCCACCATCTAATCCAACGGGTGGCTACTTATATATACATACTCTAACACTCACACACACAAACACAATGGATGGACAGTTTTGAGTTCCATGATCAGCCTAAAATAGCAGATTCATTCAATCATTTATTCATTCAAATATTTATGTTGTGAAATTATTCTATCTACAAGACAAATTAAAAGCTAATCCTGAATTTTTTTCTGGTTATTTGCAGGGGGAAAAAAGTTTTATTACTTCTCTCTATATCCAGCATACAACTGAAATGCCCTTTATGTATTCCAGGTTATATGTAACAACAGAACTAGGCAACCCACACTTTCTTCCACCAGTTTATAATTATGTTACCATGATCAACTTCACGGTGACATTCCAAGGTTTGCAGGACCAGCTTTTATCCACCGTCGTGGTTCATGAAGTCCCTCAGCTAGAGGATCAACGCTACGAGTTGATAGAGAATATTTCTGCTGACCTTTTAACCCTCCGGGAACTAGAGGAAAAATCATTGAGTTTATTGCAGAAATCACAAGGTAAGACCAGAAATTTTCTGGAATTAAGAGGGCCTGGAACATTTAGAGCCAAGACAGAAAGAAAAAAAAGTCTGGAGGTATCACCTTCTGTATTTTTGGCAAAATGTGCTAGATTTAGTTTTATAAAGTAGCAAAACTAATTCATATATGTGAAGCCAGCCCTTTATTGTGACCGTTGCCCTAGTTTTGTTGTTTCTCAGTTTCCTCAATAGTCAAGCTGTGAGCAGCTAGTTGGCACGGTGGATAGAGCTCCAGGCCTGGAGTCAAGAAAATCTGAGTTCAAATCCAGCCTCAAAAACTTACTAGCTATGTGTTCCTAGGCAAGTCAATTAACCTCAGTTTGCCACAGTTTCTTTATTCGTAAAATAGAGATACGAATAGCATCCACCTACTAGGATTATAATGAGGATAAAATGAGATAAAATTTGGAAAATGTTTAGCATTTATAAAGTGCCTGGCACATAATAGATACTGCATAAACAATAGCACCTACCTCCCTTGGTGTGAGGATCTAATGAGATAATAATTGTAAAGTGCTTAGCAGAGTACCTAGCACATAGTAGGTGCTAGTTAAATATTAGCTAACAAATGTGTGCACCAGAGGCTAGCTTTAGGTCATTATCTTCTCCATATCACAGTCAGAACAGATTTAGATGGTGGAAAATTAACAAGGCATAACACAGCAGGTAAGGTTTTGGGTTGGCAGGTGGATCAGGCACCAAATCTCTTGATTTCTGTAAAATCAGAGTTGATCTTTTAACTCTAGAGAATTAATAGTAATCAGTATCTGATAGGGAATTGAGTTTGTGGTTTGGATATCCATTTTGACTGGGTGATTAGTCAATAGTCTATCAAATAAATTTGGAATTATTCCAAAAAAGAAAACGAATCACATAAAAAAAAATCACATTTCTAGATACACAACAGATACTTAATAAATTTAGATTTACTGCTTGAACTGCTGAGTGTAAGAGACATGTATTTAACTCTATGACTAAAAATAGTCCCTGCAACTGAATGAAATCTGAAAATTTTAGTCAATGCTCAGACAAAACTGAAAGGGTTCATAGGAAGTAGAAAACAAATGGCTCTCAGATCACCAGGGTAGAGTGATTGGAGGATGATAGAAAGATATCTCCTCTGCCATCCCCAGTTCCGCTGGTGGAAGATTTGACAACTCAAGAGTCTCCAAAAAGATTCAAATTTCTCAGGAAATTTTATTGTCTTCTGGAATCATGTCCAAATTATCCAATGTTTCAATTCCCAAATTATTAGTCCATGGCGAATGTATCCATAAGTCCACCACAGAGAATATCTAATTGAATACCACCTCAGAATAGAGAGGGTCCCTTTTTTTTATTGATGATGACCCATCCAAAATGCCATTGCTGTTTCTTCAGTACTTTGTGCGCACTCTGTCCAATGATGTACTCCTCAAATTCTCATCCTGTATAACCTTTGTCCATGGCCTCCCCTAAATCTTCCATGAGGTCCCCCTACACGCTAAGAACCTTCCTCTACTTCTTTCAGTGTTAAATCAGTGCTATTCATCTCTTATCTCTCTCTCTTGCTGCATGACCTGCCTTCCCCTTTCCATAAATGCATCTCTTTGATGAAATCTTTAATGCCACTTTTTGTATATAAATTCAACTTTGATAGCATGCTTTTTATACCCACCATGTTCTCTCTCCATTACTGCTTGGTTTACCTGTAATTTTGTTCTTTGGAGACCTTATTCTTCCATGAATCACAACCATATGAATTCCTGGAAGAAAATTTGTGTTAAGCAAATGGATTTTTATTTGAAGAAGAAACTTGTGATTATTGAAAATACTCTGCAGTTTTACAAAAACAATCCATTCTCCTTGTCTTTTATTTGATTCTGTGCCCGGCTTATTGGTCATCTGCAGAGTAATTAATATCCACAATATATCATATGTACTGATGGACCAGTCCAACACTTCATTGAGCTAACTGCACATGTTCTGAGCAATAGACATTCTCTTCATCTGCTTAGTGCCATGGAGATTGTTAAGCCAAATCCTTTTGAGTGATTGTGAATCTCATTTAGAAGCCTCTGCAGAGTTCTGAGGCTTGATACAATGAGTAGCATCACTCCATAAAAACAATGGAAAGGAAGGGAATAATATCAAGATGGCAGAATGAGTGCTAATGTTTGAGCCTAGCTCCCCTACCTTACCCCCAGAGTAGCAACAAATGCATCAAATGAGTAAAAACAACCAACTAAAAACAAAACCCCTCACAAGGAAAATTGCTTCATAGAGAAAAGAATGATTGAAGAAATGAGTAGACAAATCCAAAAAAGCTCCAATACTACGAATAATTAAAAAGATAAAAAGGCCCCAAAAGCAAAAATGTATCTATCAAAATACCCTTCAGAATGATTAATAATATAAATTTTAATAGTATCTTTTTCCAGTGACATGTAAAAACAATTTTCAACATTCATTTTTTTAATAAAATTTTGAGTTCCAAATTTTCTCCTGCCTTCTCTTTTCCCCTCCCTCTCTAAGATGGGAACAATTTGATATGTAGATGATATATGTACAGTTATCCCTTCCACACCAAGACTTTCCTCATCATGGTTTCAATATATTGTGAGTCAGCATAAGAAATTAAATGGGAATTTTTGGGGCATTTTGCAGAAGCCACAGATGACGTGAAAGCCAGCAGACAACACAGAAAATGTTTAGAAACTCAGAAATGTATAAAATATATGTATAGTATTGTATAATATCAACCCAAAATTTACAATAAGGTGCTGTAAACACCCCATAAAAGAAAAAGAAAAAATTCATACTTCTGTGGTATGAAGGGAGGGCCAAAAATTTTACGTGGATTTTCCAGACGCAGGGTGGGGGGGAAGCCACCCCTAACCCCTGAGATGTAGAAGCGATACCTGTGCAATCATGCATAACCTATTTCCAAAATAGTCATGTTGACAAGGTGCAAGGGCACCAAACTGTTGAGGTGCAAGGGGTGTGTGTGTGTGTGTGTGTGTGTGTGTGTGTGTGTGTGTGTGTGTGTGT